GGGTAGTGAATCGATCGAGCTAGGATAATACTCAACATCGACCTAAATGGTAGAACTAGGGGGATTCATACCCAAGAGAGCTCCCACCTTGTAATTAGTTACGATAGTGGTTAGCTAGGTCAGTTAGTTTAGTCTTCTGAATCACTACTCTAGGTTGGCAATATAATGAACCCTAAACCTGAAGTAATGTAAGCTTAGATCCTAGTGGTACGATGAATTTTATTTCTTGCTTACCCTATGCTACACCTGGTCGTCGATTATACTTGGCCGTCGATTGGGATGTGTAGTTAGGAACGAGTCAGGAAGTTCTGGTTCCTATGCTTGAACTTCTAGAAATTTGTCACTCAGTATTGAGAAACTCCTCGATCAAACTACGAAGGACGTCCAAGTAATAGATGGGCGGCTTGCATTGGTGCAACATCAAACAGAATATCATCTTCGTACTTGCTGACTTCAAACTTGATCTTGGCTTGCTTGTTAACCTTAATCGCACCATAGTAGTTGAGCACTTGTTGATTGTAGGGCTCGGGATGCTTGCCCGAGCTCAGCCGAGCTTCTTAATCATGTTAGAGCTCACAACATTCGTACAAATTCCACCATCGATGAGAATTGAGAGCAATTCTCCATTGATAGTGCAGCGAGAATGAAATAGATTATCCTTCGTCATCGATTCACTCCCATGAAAAAGCTTCGATGGTAATTGTAACACCCCGATAATTTAGATTTAGGTTCGACCTTAATACGTGAATGGTTGGATTAACGGTTGTGTACTAAGAGTTACAACCACAGATTAAGAATAATAATTATAACTATTATTATTATAGTATTATAGTATAAAAAAAATAATAGGTCCGCCGGCCATAAGAGTCCGAGCGGCCTCACTTAAAACCCACCTCCCTAATTTAATTCCCCAGCAAACAAACCCAAAACCCCTCTGCCCTCTCGTTTTTCCCATCCCCCTGCCCAAGAAAAACGGCTGCAAACTCCCCCAGCAACCGCTCGGCAAGAAGAAAGAAAAAAAAAGAAAAGAAAGGGAGCGCGGCCCTGTTCCTCACCCCGACCTCATCCCTTTCGTTCTAGGTAAGGATCACGAATCCCTTCACGATTTCTAAACTCGATTTATCGATAGTCTAATCCGAAGCTCGTATTTTATTAGCGGTGATGTTTGAGGGTTCGATCAACAAGGAATTCAACGTCCCGGGTCATCCAACCTAGGCCTAGGCACGTTTTAGAGGTAAGGGAACTCGATCCCTTTGAGTTAGATCGATTTCTTTGGTGATTTTTCGTAAGGGTAGAATTCTGCAATTTTAGCAACAGGCTTTACAGTCTTTTAGTGACAGATTTTGATTGGTCACTAAAGCTGCTAGGAATTTCCAGAAACGTATTTTTAGATGTTTTAAATGGTTTCAAGCCTCTATGAAGGTTTTTTTCTAGATCTAACAATTTTATAAATTGAGCGACATCTAGGAGATGATTTTAATTTAATTTGGAAATTTTTAAAGATGTGTTTCTATTTTTAGAAATTGTTCAATAATTTGTTTTAATTAAATAAAAATCTTTCCAAGGAGTTTTTAAGGGTTTAATAATTTTCCAGGGTATAGGGGCTCATGATTGACATGGGAAAAGTACTATCCGAATTTTTTAGAAGGTTCAAGTTAGGTGAAAAATTCGTCCAAGACTAAAATAATTAGGAAAAATGGTCGTTTGTGAAGGGATTAATTCTAGAAAATTTTAAAGGGGGTTAAGGGACCTTTGGAGTGAGCATTGAGGATGGGACTTTGAGTAGAGGGTGTCTGGGTAGATAAAAAGGAGACTTTTAAATCGAGGAAGGGTGTCTTAGAATATGAATTTCTTATTAATAGGTTTCCTGGGATAATCCGGCTAAGGAGGGAAAGAAGGCGAGAAAGTTAGCAGCCGATCGAACTTCGTAGTCTCGCGTGATGAAGAGGTTCACACCGATTAGTAGGAGGGGAAGAGCCGCGTCTATTAGAGGCGGAAGGAAGGCCGAGAACTTAACATCGGTGATCGCAACTAGCAGGGGTAAAGTGATGGAGAGGCCCCGACCCTATCCTCCCAGACGACCCGGGGTGTCGGGAGTTCGAAGTTGGCTGCCGAATTGTGGCCCGAGGATGGACCTTGAAGAGAATGGCGGCAGAGCTCCAATGGTTAGGGTCGTTGAAAAGGAAGACGATGAACCGATAGAGGAGGAGCCAAAAGAGGAAAAACGCGCGGGGCTTGAGCGGGAGAATGCAGACGTTGATGCGACTAAAGAGGTGAGCGTAAAGGGGGTAAAATCTCTGTCGTAGGTCTTTTAGTTTCTGCTTTTCGTTCAAGTTATTATTTAGTTAATTTTTCTAGTATGCACGATATGTGTGTGAGGCATCCCACCGCCTGTAAGGGTGGAGGCACGCGTTGTGCTATGTATGAATGTTTGTGATGTTGTATGGATTGATGGTATGAGGAACCCCCGGGCAGTTGGGTCACTACTGGACGGCAAGACGTAACGCAGTAGCTGACGGGCATGGACTGGACGGCGAGCGTAACGCAGTGCCATTGCCGAGATTGGGTATGCAACCGGACGGCGAGACGTAACGCGGTTGGCATACTAGGGTAGGGAGATCGGACAGCGAGACGTAACGCGGTGGTCCCTTGTGTTGGTGTCTTTGGATTAAGAGTATAAGTAAGAAAAATTCTAAAGATAAGATCGAAGTAGAGATCTCTTATAGACTGTTTGATAGTAAAGTTTAAAGGATGAAAGTGAGAACGACTTTCGTCTAAGGAAGGCATTCCCCTAATAATGTGTTTAGTAAGGAGTTTGCCTAGGGCAAAGACCTTAGGAAGTAACGACGAGACTGACCCCTTCTCACTCACCAAGTTGAAGATAGTCTAGCAGAAGTGGATCATGAGAAGAAGCAGGGCGGGGTAAGCAGTAGTACCAGCATCGTCGGGATATCGAAAAGCTCGTGAGGAGTCAAGTTAGATTAGTTAATTATTCTGTTTCATGGTTATTAGTATAAACCGGAGATTCTGTGTTAAGTCGTTTTGAGTGTTTGAGATTGAGAATTTTGCTCAAGTGTTGGGGCTCTTCGTTAAAAAAATTCTTAAATGATGTCGGTTTGTTTATTTTAAAATGTGGTTTGGGTTGCTCTGGAGTAACCGGGTTTTGGTTTGAGTTATGGTTTGATTTTTGAAAAGAGACGAGACGTGTCAGTAATGGATATTCGATTCACTCCCATGAGCATTCCTTGTGTTAGGGGCAATGATTTAAATTTGTTCATCAACATCCTCATCATCAGATGAGCTCTTCTCTTCGTTGGAAATGTATTATCCATCACGAACCACCAGAGTCTTCAAATTTGGAGATTGGTTTGCTTTACTGTCCCTTTCATGGCACTTGAAACATTGTATACCTCCTGAGCGTTCTGGAGGAGTTGGAGCATTGTTTCAAGGTGCAAGTTTGGTGCTTTCTGGCGTGGGTTAAGGTGGATTGTAGTCGGCATTGGATTGTGTCACATGTTTGGTTGCCGGTGAGTACGTCGACTTGGCATCGTCTTTTGCTACCTCTCGATCTTGATTGCAAGGTGGATGACTTCTTCCAACTCAACAAACGATCGAAGCTTGACCTCAAGGCAGATTTCTCGGTTTAATCTGTGAAGAAATCGGGCAATTGTCGCCTCCCAATCTTTCCTGATGTCTACTCGCATCATATGCAGCTCCAACTCACGAAAGTAGTCTTCAACAGACCTCGATCCCTGCTAAATTTGTTGCAAGGATTCATGCAACTTGTGTTGGTAATACCCTGGTACGCATCGCTCCCTCATGAGACTTCTCAAATCGCTCCAGGTCTTGACTTCCTGCTACAAATTCCTCTGGCGTTGGAGTCAAACTTGCTCTCACCACTGTGCAGCATAGCCTGTGAATTAGTACGTGGGAAGGAGGACTTTCTGCATTTCAGTGTTAATGCCACATTGGAATGATAACATCACTTTTCACTCCCAATCCAGGTAGCTTACGCGTTGTTAGAGCTTGATAAAGAAGCAACAAACAATTTTACCCCTCTTAGCTCTGCAACTACTTTTTCTGCTGGACGACGATCCTGATCACAAAATTTGTGATGGCCACGGTGGTCGTGCTCCATAGTGATCAGTTGTCGCTCCAAATTCTGAATACGCTCTACTAAGGCAGAATCCGCCCTGTCCCCAAAACGACGCCACAATCTCCTCCAACGACCTCCCTTTCGTCTCCAGAAACAAAGTGTACATAAGATCCACCCCACCAACGACACCCCGACGAACAGAAAAAATGCCCCGCCGATCGTAATCGCCTTGTACAACGATATGAATGTCATCGAGATCATCGTGGGCATCAGCCTATTCACCGCCACTCCTAAACTATACCCCTGGCCCCCAAGTCTCAACGGAAAATTTTCCGCAAGGTTCGTCCCATCTTCCCGTCAATAACGACGTTGATCATGGGAATTCGTGGATTGTCCAAACCCGTCAGCAGACAGGGACGATAGCCATTCTACTCCCGTTTAGTTGCCGGGGATCGAGAGAGTTGTACCCGCCCGATCCGCCCCGTTGCCATACTTGTGTTTTAAGTAGGGATGGCAACAAAACCCGAACCCACGGGTACCCATCCGACCCAACCCGGTCAACGCGGGTAAAACCCGTGTTGACGGGTTTTGGGCCGGGTTCGGGTTTAAACCCGCTACACTATTCACCGGGTCGGGTTGGGTTTGGGTTTAGGTAAACACGCCCCATGGGTACCCGCCCACACACATATAATTACTTTCCTGGTATATTTAATATTCTAAATAATATATCTTCCTTAAACAACTAATATTCTTTATGTTTGTGGAGACATTTTTAATTTGTTCTTTCTAATTGTTTAGAATGAAGTTGATATTATGAAGTGAAGAATGGAGAAACTTAGTTGACGAGGAAGAAGCTTTCAATTAATCTTATTGTTTATAGATGTGTATCTTTAATTTTGAACAATTTGTATTGATCATTTGCGGTTTGCTTGTATGCTCTAGAGTTGTGTTTTTTGTATGATTAATTTGTATGAGAAAATTGATGTTAAACTTTTATTTTGAAAGTAACTTGTTATTGTAAATTTTTTACTAGAAAAACCCACGGGTACCCATGAACTCGCGGATATCCAGCGGGTTGGGTTGGGTTTGAGTTTTTCAAACCCAATGGGTTTTATTCCGAATTTTTTTGGCGGATAAACCTATGGGTTTGGGTTTGACAAAACCCGCCCCAACCCGACCCATTGCCATCCTAGTTTTACTTTTAAGACTAAAAAAGTTAGGGAGGAGTAGGTGGGGGTGCCGATTCGTTCCAAGGAAAAAGGACCGCCAGCCCGACGGAGTTTCCCATACTCTCCCCATTTCCTTTCTCCCTCTCAAATAAACCTCAACAATATTCGGGTCGCTTTCTTCACCTCCCTACCAAATATCTGCTTCTCTGCTTCTGCCGCGGTCTCCCCAGGTTCGTCTCCAATCAATTTCTCAATCTCTTTCTCCCATGTTTCCTTTCTCGGGATTTGAACTTGTTTCTTCGTCTCTCGACGAATTTCTCTGGTGCTTTTGGATCTGATTTCGTCTTCTGCTGTGGTCACGTCGTTCTTGCCTGTTGATTCTTTGCTGCTTCGCGTTCTTGTTTTTGCTACCTGGAATCGTTGTATGTGTTTGTGACGGTGTCAGAAGCTGCTGTTGCCAAGTTGAATCTGGATGTAACTTGTTAAAACTGAAAATGCTGTGGACGTTTGTTGATGATTTTGGCTCAGCAATCTTGAGCCGATGAGTTATTTCTGTCTCTCTCTGTTTGGTTTTATGGTTTGGCAAATTGTGAATGTAGTGGAATCTGAAGAAACGTGAGCTTCTCTCAATCTTTCCTAGTTATGACTTGGGAAGAATGTCTTTGAGCTCGTTAATGATTCATCTTCTGAAATACTGTCGATGGATTGCTCTATTGCTCGTAGACCGCCTGAACATGCACCGTGTTTAATGAATTGTTGTATTTGGTAATGTGGAATTAGGATGACAAGTTGTTCAATTCAGCCTATTTTTGAAGTTGCTTGGACTTGTCAGGCTTCCAGTATTTATTGCATCTAATTCTCTTCGTGATCCGTCACAATTCTGCTCGCTGTTTGTTTGAATCAAGCATCTTTCTTTATGCCTCTTTAGCAATATCCTTTTATTTTGACCCTTGCTTACCATAGGGCTTGTTATTGATTCTCAATGACTTCCCTGTTCGTCAAGTTTAATTGTACTGAATTGCGAAGCTTTTGCTTTCCAATATGTCTGGTGTAGAGGATGTGAAAGCCTATGGCTCCATTCCTTTGTCGTGTAATCTTATTCGATGATGCAGCTAGCTAGAGCATAGGCTTTGGAATCGGTTGCATTTTGACTGTCCTTTCACTAGATGATATGAATGCTTCCTTGGATGGCATGAATCATTTGAAGTTCCTCATGAGATAGTATAAATCTTAGATTATCTTGTATGTAGTGTGTCAGTGTTATTTACATGGCCATGTTCTGGAAGTTGTTAGTTTCTAATCACACTGATGATTGCAGGTCAATTTTATTTAGAGATCGAGATAGTTCACTTGCATAGTATGGTTCAGTCAAGATTTGCAATGTATATGTAGAATTTGATAGATAAAACTATTTCTTGAAGCATGATGATTTGTTTTGTTAACATCTTTCTCATGATCTCTGTCCCTTAGTTTAATCCTACCTGTTTATTGTTCATGCTCAACTATATTACCTAGTCTATATTGTTCCTTACCTAGAATAGAGTTCTCCGCCCAAGGACCATCAACTTTAAATTGTATTTTCTGAAACTTGCATTTTACTTCTGCATTGGCTATTTGCATGTCATAGAATTGGAACTATTATGTAATTTTACCTCCTTTTATGTATATCCTCTGAAACTCAGAAACATAGATGTTTTAAATGTGATTATTTGTTACTAGTCTTTGCATGTTTGAAACGGTATCCATTGTGGTCACATTCTTTTATCTCACTTTCATAAGGGGAAATTCATCATATTTGACTAACTTTTTTACTTCTCTACTGGCTTTTTTACTTCTCTTTACTGGTAAGTTATATCTTAATAGTTATGATGGAAGATAGAATTCCTGCAGTACTTCTTCCAATTATTTGCTATAATGTTATTTATCTTGTGGCTTAGCTGTTTTTACTACTCAGTAGTAGTGTCAAAGAGATTTCTCATGGTTTACTTATTATTACAGTTAAAAGATGGCAGCTACATCAGCTACATCAGCTACTTCCTTTTCTATTGGATCGAAAATCTCTTTTGGTCCTAAAGCGAGCCAGCTCCTGCTGCCAAAACCATCTGTTGTTAGATTCAACTCTCAGAAGCCACTTGCAACCTTCAGCGGTCTGAAGGCAACAGGCTCTATGAACTGTGAGTCAGAGTCTTCATTCTTGGGCAAGGAAAGCTATGCTGCGTTGCAGAATTCTTCATCACCAAGAAGTGTCAAGTCAACTGGAAGGACGCAGTATCACCTCAATCCCCAGGCATCTTACAAAGTGGCTATTCTTGGAGCAGCTGGAGGGATTGGCCAGCCTCTGGCATTGCTGGTCAAGATGTCTCCATTGGTTTCTTCCCTCAACCTCTATGATATTGCAAATGTGAAGGGTGTTGCAGCTGATCTAAGTCACTGCAACACGCCTGCCCAAGTCTCAGATTTCACTGGGCCGTCTGAACTTGCTGATTGCTTGAAGGGTGTGAACGTCGTTGTCATTCCAGCTGGAGTCCCAAGAAAGCCCGGGATGACCCGTGATGATCTATTTAATATCAATGCTAGCATTGTAAAGACCTTAGTTGAAGCTGTTGCTGATAACTGCCCTGAAGCCTTCATCCATGTCATCAGCAACCCAGTGAACTCTACGGTACCAATTGCAGCCGAGGTTTTGAAGCAGAAGGGTGTTTATGATCCAAAGAAGCTGTTTGGTGTTACTACTCTCGATGTTGTGAGGGCAAATACGTTTGTCGCTCAGAAGAAGAACCTAAGACTCATTGATGTAGATGTCCCAGTTATTGGAGGCCATGCTGGGATTACTATCCTTCCACTTCTGTCAAAGACAAAACCCTCGGTCTGTTTCACTGACGAGGAGATCCATGAGCTGACTGTGAGGATTCAGAATGCTGGAACTGAAGTAGTTGAGGCAAAGGCAGGTGCTGGCTCTGCTACTCTGTCGATGGCATATGCTGCAGCAAGATTTGTGGAGTCTTCTCTTCGCGCACTTGATGGAGATGGTGATGTGTATGAGTGTGCATATGTGCAGTCTGATGTTGCTGATCTGCCATTCTTTGCATCGAGAATCAAGTTAGGAAAGAAAGGTGTTGAAGCTCTCATTTCATCGGACCTCCAGGGTCTTACCGAGTATGAGCAGAAGGCAGTTGAAGCGCTGAAGGCTGAATTGAAGTCCAGCATTGAGAAGGGTGTTGGTTTTGCCCAGAAGCAGTCCGTAGCTGCTGCCTAGGGCGAGTCTCAAGTGTTGGATAAAATCTCTAACCAAAAAATGTAACCATCTCCCCAGTTTTTAACCAAAGGTTCTTTACCTGGAAGTTGAGAAATTTTCCTTTTATTGTTATCGCATAAGGTGCTTTTGAGTTTTGTAGAAGAAGTTGCCAAAATTTCATTTCTCTGGTCTTGGAAGGATATTTTTTTGAAGAAAATGTGCGAGTGGGTGGGATACATTAGTGTTGTAGTAGGTCCAGCCAGCGCTCTAGAGAAACAGCAGTGACCATTGTGATTGGTAATAAATATGCAAAAGCATGGTTGGCGAACCATGGGAACAGATACATTTGTTGTATGATTCCCTATCGTTTGCCTACTGAGAGATGGCAGCAGAACCAAATTATGAGTACCCGATACCCAATTGGGTCGAAGATCCAAAGCTCATTGCCATCCACCATAGTCTCTCTATTGGGTTATTCCCTCTTTTTCCCCCGATGCATTACCAGAAATCATCACAGGAGCATCGGCCCTCCCTAAAGTGATGAAATCTATTTCGATCTCTAATGACTACATCTCGGTTATAAACCCAGGAAAGAGCTTTTGCGAATTCATGGCAGTCCACACAGGTTCTCAAGTTCTTGGCTATCCTTATTGTTGTTCCAGGTGGAGTTGCAAGGATTCCAAAGGCCATGGCTAGCTTCTCACTATGGTAAGAGAGTGCATGTCCCTTCTCTTCCTCGTCCAAATTGTGCAGTTCGGAAGTTATGTCAGCAACATAACCAGCAATCTTCAACTGCTTATTTATCTCATCCATGGTCGTGTAGATCTCTTCCTTCCTCGAATGAGAAACATCATCCACCAAAAATTCATGGACTACGCCTTTCACGATGATCGAACTGCACCCAAGTGATGTTTGAATCCCTCTTTCCTTCATAAACCTTCTTGTGTCCTTTACCTTCTCCCAGTCCCCAACCGAAGAATAGATATTTAGCAAAAGAACATAATCCCCAGCTTCCTGAGCCTTGAGCTCAACCAAATGCCCCACCACCGTTTCTCCCAGTGTAACATTGTGGTGGATTCTACATGCTCCAAGCAGAGTCCTCCATATAGCAGAATCAGGCTTCAACTCCTTCATCGACATTATCAACTCGTACGCTTGATCAAGCTTCCCCACTCGACCCATTAGGTCAACAATGCATCCGTAATGGTGAATGTTGGGCTTTATCCCATACTGTTTGGTCATTGATTCAAAGAAGAGCATGCCCTCATCCAACAACCCGCAATGACTACAAGCAGAAAGAAGTCCAGTAAACGTCTGGTCGTCTGGGGGAACACCTGCTTGTCCCATTTGCCTGAATGCATCCAAGGCCCCCCTTCCATGGCCATTCATTGCAAGACCAGAAATCATAGCGCTCCAAGTGACCACATTTTTCTCCCTCATTCGATTAAATACCTCATACGCCTGGTCCAGGCACCCACACCTGGAGTACATCGAGATCAGAGAATTGCACAACTTGATAGCATCGCCGTATCCATTTTCCTCCATGTAATTTCGAACCTTGTCCCCGAATTCCAGTGCGCCCAAATCAGCACAGGCTTGAAGGAGAAACAAGCAGGTGACATCATCCGGTTTACATCCCAACTCATCTCGAACCATACTATCAAACACCCCCAGGACATCCCTCGTCCTCTTATTGCGTAGGAAGCTAGAGATTAAAACGTTCCAGGAAACGGTGTCTTTATGAGGCATTTCATCAAACACTTTGTGGGCTTCACCATCCCTGCGGCAGAGCGAGTACAGATCCATCAAATTGGTCAGTAAGAGGCTATCTGATTGGTGCCCACCATTCAAAATTTTCGCGTGAGCCTGTTCGCCACCTCTTAAACAACGAATCTTAATGAAACATTTGATAACGAAGGTGAGAGTTATGGGGTCTGGTCGCAAGCCTCGGCGCGCCATTTTCTGGAACACGCAGAAACCTTCCATGGGCGAATTGCTGTGAGCATAGGCTCTGATCATAGTGTTACAGACTAAAGCAGACGGTTCCCGTATTTGGGAGAAGACTCGACGAGCATATTGGATGTCTTGAAGAGGAGAGAGGGCTATGCGGGACAGGAAGGCCAGGGATAGTTTAGGTTCTCGAAGAAGAGAAGTGCGAGTAAGATGGGCTTGAATTTGAAGCAAATGGGACTTGTGGGTGCTTGATTTAACGATGGATATCAAGTTCTGATAACTCTTCATTTGAACGGCCGTCGTTTGATCGGAATCGGAAGCGGTTGAAAGTCCAGTTCATATCAGATCGCTGTAATTCGTGCTGTCTGCAATAGCTGTACACCAACGAGGATGCAAATAAGAAGCTGGTAAAAGTTGAGGTGAAAATTGAAGTGGAGTAAAGTAACTTTAGGAAGTAAGTGGGTGTAAAGTGGATATAAAATATTATTATTAATAACGCAAGTAAACCAAACATGAAAACACTGTTCATTACTAAAAAATACGTCATAACTCATTTTGATCAGAAGTGCCACCAAACATTACACCAAAATCTATTTAATATGAGAGATTTAATAGGAGCAAGACTTTATTCTCTACACTCGAATTCTTTATAAACTCTCTTTCTTTAGAAAATTAGTTCTTTTAATTTCCGTTGAAAATTAAAACTTTATGCGTTTGTTTCAACCAAGCATTGAAATATCATATCGTACCGGTGATTCGATCAGAAAAACCTCTTATCGGATGCTAAATCAGTAGGCGATATTTAGCGGTATGAAACCGCTGAACCACGATTTTAACATTTCATTACTAAAAAATACCTCATAACTCATTTTGCTCAGAATTGCCACCAAACATTACACCAAAATCTATTTAATATGAGAGATTTAATCGGAGCAAGACTTTATTATGTACACTCGATTTCATTATAAACTCTCTTTCTTTAGAAAATTAGTTCTTTTAGTTTCCTTTGAAAATTAAAACTTTTATGCGTTTGTTTTAACCAAGCATTGAAATACCATATCGTACCGGTGGTTCGATCAGAAAAACCTCTCATCGGATGCTACATTAGTAGGCGATATTTAGTGGTATGAAACGGTTGAACCACGATTTTAACATAAAATGCCCTATAGCTGTCTTTTCGGATACAACCTCCGGTACGGTATTTCAATCCTTGGTTTAATATAAGATTCTAACCAGGGATTGAAAACCGTACCGACAGTTCGAACAGAAAAACCTCCTACCAGAAGCGAAATTGGTAGGCGATATTTAGTGGTATGAAATGGTTGAACCACGGTTTTAGCATAATATATCATACCTCTCACTTTTCCGGTACGATCTCTAGTATGGTATTTCAATCCTTGGTTCTAACCACACTTTACTAAATTATAAGGTTAGTTAAGTTTTACAGAACATTCTAATTGGATATTATCAATAGCTTGATTTTATTATTGAACCACAAATTACCAAAGATTTACGTAACATAATTCTATAATAGTTACATAAGTTACAAATATGTAAAGTAACTTTTATGAAGGGGTAGTATAAAATTTGTTTGGCACTTCTTCTTTTAGTTTCCGTCGAGAAAAAAAAAACTACACGTGTTTGTTTTTACATAAGCTTCTAACCAACAATTGAAACCCGTACCGTACCGACAGTTCGACCAGAAAAATCTCCTACAAGAAACGAAATCAGTAGGCTGTATTTAGCGGTATGAGAAGGTTGAACCACCGTTTTAACAAAAAATATCATATTGCTCATTTTTCCGGTACGACCTCCAGTACGTTATTTCTATCATTGGTTCTGACCACACTTTACTAAGGTTCTATAAGGTCAGTTGATTATAACAGTTTAATTGGATACTTTCAAAAACTGAATTTTATTATTAAACCACAAATTATGAAATATTTACATGACATCATTCTATAATAATTACATAAACTAAAAATCCAAACGTAAATTTTTGAAGGGGTAGTATTGAATTTGTTTCCCCTTTTTAATAGTGGGTACTATTCACATATTTTGTTTATACTCTAAACCTAAATTTACCACAAGTGCTTTTCCCCTACCGTCAGTTGTTTATGTAATTTTTTGCTTTCCATCTCTTATAACCAATTTTACGATAGTACTTTTTTTATCTTTAGAGAGCTATCTCGGTACTTTTTTATTCTTCACAAATTTTCTGTAATCTACACCTAAATTTACCATAATATTTTCCCCCGCCAATTGGTTATGTAATTTTTCGTTTTCCATATCTTACACTCAATTTCACCATAAGTTTTTTTAATCTTTAGACAACCATCACAATACTTTTCATTTCACATAAACTTTACATAGTATCTCGGTACTTTTTCACTGTTGTTACATAAATCTTTCGTAAATGTATGGCAGTTATTTTAATAAAATGTGTATCAACTGAAAATGTATTGCATAAACTTTATAGAATGATATTTATGTTTTATGTATCAATAAAACAAATGTATTAGGTACGTCTTCCATAATAATTAAGAGACTATGTAGAACTTATACAAGTATCTTACGATTGTGTGAATTATTTGATTTCAGCTAAATCATTAAATGAGTGAATTAAATTTTAAATATAATTAGTTTCTTACCGCCGCAAAGTGCGGATAAAAAAACTAGTAACTATTAATAGGGTTTGGTCTGAAGTTTAGCATAAGTGTCAATTTTGATCCAATTTTTCGAATAAGACAGCTGTGGCCAGCTTTTCAAATTATTGGATAGATTTGACCCAATGTTTGGGTTGACCGTTATGTAACACCCCTAATCAAGGTTGACACCCGTCCATTGCACCTTTAACATCGTAAGGGAGGAGCGAGGTGATGTCATTGCTGCATCGTGGGGAGAGGAGGAAGCAAGGCGCAGCTGAAGCGGAGCTCGATAGGGGCTAACGGCAGTCTGATCGATCTATCGGAGCACGATCTGGATTGACCGTCATTCGTCCCGGGAGTTCAAGAACGATCGGAGCCGATTCCGCAACGCCGGGAGAGCCTCTACAATGAGGAATGTACGAGGTAATTCACTCTCGCTATGAATCTCCATTGTTAGCTGAATTATTATCTCGGGGAAGAAGTCATGGATTCATGAGACAAGTGGGGATTAACAGTTAAACGTGAAGCGGGGGTAGAGATTTTGGTTAATTAGTGGGTATTGCTCTTTGCATTTATGGGATTGATTCTCATCATTGCTAGTTGGGATGTACGAGGATGATCAATTATTTCACGAGTAAAGGGTGGTGGTCGAGTGCAAGGGAGTTGGAGCATTGGGTTACTATAATATTCAGGGTCGGTTTATAATAAAATATAAACAAAGTATCAATTGATAAATAAAAATCATTCCATTATTTAAAAATAATCTCTATCTAATATGATCTGTAATAAAGAGTGATAATGATTTAAATAGTAAGATTTAATTAAAAAATTGATTATAATTTTAGAACAATCAAATAGTATAAAAAATAATAGAATAAACTAAATTAGATAGGAGAAATCGATAATTTTTTTAGTCTAAAATTAAGTATGGTACAAACTATTTGTAATTGATTTAGTTATTTTTTCTTTTCTACTATTGGTGGCTTGTATCTAATTATTTTGGTTAACATTTAATAAATCAATGTAATTATTTAATTAATTTAGCATTACTGTCTTGTTAGTACAAACAGGTTAATTAACAAAATTGAATTATTTTTCTCCTTTAAAAGTTGAAAATGAAGAAACTTAAAGTAATAAATTTAATAATGCTAATAATAAGGCATCACCAATCTTACATCTTTTATTATTTAGGAAACACATAAGAAAATGAGTTATGTTATATGGTTTGAAAAAAGTTTAATAATTAAGAAAGCAAGCTTTTCCCTTATGTGATTTGTTCGTTCTTTTAGCCTTCGATCTTAAATTTTGTAATATTATTGTTTTAGACCCATAATCAAAACACATTTCATAAATTTTCTATCATTTTAAATTCATAATCGAAATCCAATAATCGTTAAATATAATTAGTCATATACGCGATGCACGTCCGGAGGCCCCCAAAATTTGGAGGTCCTGTGTCGGAGGGCGTGCCAGTAGGCCTGACCAAGAGGGTATGCCAAGAAGCCCTCCGACACAGGGCCTCAAATTATTAGGGGCCTCCACCTTTATATGTTAGTTAGTCCGATCGTATATTGTAGGTTTTATTTGTAGTGTATGATTAATTGATTATGAGTATGATAATAGGTTTAATTATATTAATTAATATTAGTGTTAGCCATTGATATATATTCTCAAGTATATATACATTAGACACTTATATCAATTGTTAAAATATTGTTTGTGTTTTGAAAACATAATACAAGATAATTTTAATGGACTAGTTATCATAATAATTGAAATTATCTCATGGAGAATACAAAAATTAGAGGCATAATAGATAATATTATTTTAAGTAATATTAGAAAAATATTAAATTTCAAATAATTATGATATAATCATTTTAATTTTATTATAATTCAAAATTAATTTGGGCCACATCACAATTTTGGAACATGGCCTCCACAATCCATTGGACGGCCTTGCATACTAGCACACCCTCTGGGCCCAAAAAAGATAAGGTCTTCCCATTTACTGTTGGGAGGACGTCCTCCCAGTGGACAATATGATATTTGTGTAATGATAATATAGTATACGATCTACAGGAATACATATTTGTCCAATAAGAAAAATGTATTCTTATAATAGATAGTAGTATGAAATCAAACTTTCAAGAATATGATATTTACATTATGACAATATGATATTTTTGAAGGCTTGATGATATTTATGTTATGAGAATATGATATTTTTGAAGGCTTGATTTTATACTACTATCTATTATAAGAATACGTTTTTCTTGTTGGACGAATATGTATTCCTGTAAATCATATATTATATTATTATTACACAAATATCATATTCTCCGCTGGCAGGACGTCCTCCCAACAGTAGGTGATTTAGGCAATTACGTCAACCTATATATATTGCCAAGTTTCATGTACGGGGAAGTTGGATGCTGCTTGATACTTCTACATGTTGCTCGAGATTATAAAACTTATCCCAACTCTTATCCATGGGTTTTGACACGTAAACGGGCCGGTTTCGACTAGGAATATGAACAACACCTAAAATTAATTTGATTTAATTAATTACCACGAGTTCAAAGTAATTAATTTTATCAAAAAGCGACGTTGTTTGGTCTAGAACGTCACAGATTCCATAGCGAGCTAGCGGCTTTGAGAGCTCATCAATGCCGATGGCAAGTTCGACAAAGTCTTGTGATCAACGGCGTCATGAACTCAATGATGCTGCAAGGTGTTTTCCGGCGAGAAAACTCTTGTTGAATTGAGATGGATTGCACCTTTGACTTCTATGGACAACGATTTCTAAGACACGGCTCAAACCTCTTCAAACAAAGTTCGAACGAGGGTGTTTGATTGATGGTTTTTGGGAAAGAGATCTAAATTAAATTACTTCTACTCCTATGGAGGTTCGGCGAGAGCTCCAAACTACGAACTACATCTATGGCTACATGATAGAGAAAAGGTAAAGGATAAAATTGACATGTGTGTCAGAGTGTTGGTTTTGGAACCTCTGTCTCTGTCGACCCCTCCTCTTATTTATAGCCCCGAGGAGGTAACCGCCATAGAAAACCGCTTGTTGGATAACTGCTACAAAGAACCGCTCCTCCTTCTTCGGTAGAAAACTGACTCTTGGATAACTCCCAAAAAGAACCGCTCCCTGCTTCCTCGGAGTGGTGGTTACTCCTTCAACCGCCTAGGTGCCTCTCTTGGAGCCGTCGTGGGTTTTGGAGTGTAGCTTGCCTCGCCTGGTCTTGTATTTGAATCTCGTGCCATGCTAGTCTTTTGACGAGCATGTAGTGTCTCGCAAAGGGGGTCATGGTTCTCTTGTCTCATGGCCATGGACTTCTTACCCATGTCCATGGCCCACTTGGGACTTAGTCATTACTGATATAGTGCTCCACCACCACGCCCTTCTCATTCGTGTCCATGGCCACTCTTGTGAAGTGGCATGGACTTCTCAATCATGCACAAGGCCTCTCTCATGAGGCGGCATGGCCTTTCCATACTTTGTATTTTCAATCATTTATCTAATGCTTCTTGCTTCGCGTCCATGGCCATCACATGACACGACCATGGACCTCTTAATTATGCACATGACCCTTCTCGTGAGCCGGCATGGCCTTCTCAAACTTGGTATATTTTGGATCATGAGGCGACATGGCCTCCTCATTCGCGGCCATGGACTTCTCAGTCATGTCTGTGGCCCTTCTCGTGACACAACATGGCCTTCTCATACTTAGTATCTTTTCTTGCGTCCATGCCCCTTCTCGTGAAGTGGCATGGACGTCTCCTCTTGTCTCGCGTCCATGCCCTTTCTCGTGAAGCGGCATGGACCTCTCGTTGAAGTGGCACATGCTTCTCCTTGAAGCGGCATGTACCTCTTCCATACTTAGTTTATTTTTCAGTCATTCGGTATTGGTCGCGGGGCGGCATGTGCTCCTCAATTTCTAGATGGACATGGCCCTCTTCGTTGAGGCGGCATGTGCCTCTAGATTTTAGATGGACATGTCCCTCTCCAAACTGAGTGGTTTGGGCTTAAAATCAATATCCATAAGACCCAACTTAAACAACATTAATTGTTGTAATGGGTGTGGCCTTATAAACTCATTAATTATCTTGTAACTCGCCAATGTGGTACAAGATAAATTTTATGGTGTAAACAAATGCCCCCCAACTACTTAGTGCATAAGAAATATGGACTAAGTAGTTGACACCAACTTCAATTCCTTAACCATATGACTAGCCACCCTTACAAAGCAATGACCCTACATAAAGAACATAAATACTTAGACAATTCTCATGGCACTAAATGTGGTCGCACCACACTCATCCCAAATTGATCTTAGATGGCAAGCCAACTCTCGTTACTTAGCCAAATTTGGCTTCACAAAGAAAAACCTGGTCTTAGTACGCTTATGAGCCAACTCGAGAGGAACAATGAAATAATTCATTATTTTTTCCTTCTTGTACAAACGAGAATATTGTACAAACGAGAAGAGGACAATTAATTAATTAAGCCAATGAAGAGAATTAATTTAAGAAAATCATATCCCTCTCCTTTTATGTTTCGCAGTATAGATGCGTAGCCAAGGAATTAGCTTGTCCTTGTGCTGGTCAACTCTTTTTTTTTTCTGAAGTAAATTACTTAGCCACAATGAGTAAGTAGGACAAGCACCAACTTGCATCTCTTCCATGACCATGGGGTTCAATAACACTTAGAATTTTTTTCTAATCCTTTGCGTGACTAGCCATCATTCATCTTCAAAGCACCATACCCCTCATGTCAGGGTCATCACTCAAACATGTGGCTATTTGGAACAAAACGACATGGCATGGCATGATCTGATATATGACTCGGCATGCCAAGCCATCATAATGACTTGGCTACGAGATCTTCAAATCAAAATTTAACAACTCTAAATCAAATTTGTTACTTATATATTTTTGTTTGTTTAGAAATAGTTAGCTACTATTTATTTATTTAATATATAGGCATATATTTGATTTATTTATTTAACATGGCAAGGAGTGATAGAGTCACTGCTCTCCATTGCCTTTGGCAACAACTAATGCGCCAAAAGTGTACACCCACTACCAAGTCCATGGATTAAAGCAGGCAAGCAATCCATAGACCACATGCCTCTTTTCCCCCATGGAACATGACTTTCCATACATTAAATTCGAATCTTCTAGTTTACCAGTGGGTGGTATATGGTCGTCATGTCTAGCCTTGGTGGCCTTCCATAGGGTCCCATGCTCATATACCTTAGCCACATCACTTGCCATGTCAAGACGACCATGAGTATTCCTCTGCCTTGGTTCCCTCATGGTTGGAACATGTTTACTCCCAACATGTGGTCCATTTGCCTTTGTCTTTCCACATCTAAACCTTGTTGCCCTTTACACTTAGCACATAACCATCCTTATTTCTTTGAGCGGTCAAGCTTCATTTGTTTGTATTGTGACCTATTATACATGCCCCCTTGTCCATCCTTCGTGGTTGGTAACATGTACATATTACTCATGGACATGGACTTGCCCCCCTGTCCGCACTTAGCCGAATTTTCATGCTTGTCACAAGCATGTGTGGCTTGGAATTCTTTTAGCTTATTGGACATACCCCCCCCCCCCCCCTACTCCATTATTCATGGTCGGTGACATGGCTTCTTTCCCATACTTAGCTGTATTCGTAATCGTAAGACCACAATAACTCTTTTTGGCTTTGTCACGTTTTTCCTTGTTGGACTTGCCCCCAAGTCCACTATTTGTGATTGGTGGCATGCCAGACTTAATCATATTTTTACACTTACAAAAGCCATGAGTGTCTTCAACCTGTTGTGTCTTCCAAGACATGCGCCCTACTTCATACTTCATGATGGGTGACACTGACATGCCCCCATGTCACAACTTAGCCAAACTAGCATGCTTATCACAAACATGTGTGGCTTGGACTTCATATGACTTTTTGGACATGCGTTGTCCATACTTAGCCAAATTTTCAAATATGCAATAACTTTTTATGGCTTTCTCGCGTCGTGACTTGTTAGATATGCCCTAATTTCCACTACAATTGGTTGGATGCATGCCCCCATTTTCAAACTTAGCCAAATTAGCATGCTTAGCACAAACATGTGTTGCTTGTGATTGATGTGGTCTCTTAGACACCACATGCCCCCTAGATGGACTTCTAGGCTTCACCTTATGGGAAGTTAGACTTTCATGCCCATCTTGCCGAGCTCTTGGTGTTTTGAGTCCATCAGAATCGCCTCTTTGTCTACTCAATAGGGGTGGCTTCGCAGGTGGGCAAGCATGTGGTGGTATTGTTCCATGTTGAATGGATCTTCACCATCTCGTCCATTGTTAAGTGTCTCATCTGATCTTGTCTCGAGAACAAGCGGTTGAACATTACCTTGTACATGCAAGACCCCATGATTGGTGTTCAGAGTGGAGGTGGAACTCTCACCACAACTATCACATTGAGGGAGTGGTTTGCTTGCCACTGGCAGTGACAAGCACTTCTGCCATAATTGGCCATTCTGGTCATTAGCAGAAGATTTTGTACCATCTAGTGGCAAATCTCTTGATTGAACCACTTGATTTATCAAAAGGTGTTTCAAATCATTGAAATCATCATTATTTTTGTTAACCAACTCTATAAGTTGACTTACACGATTATCTAGATGAGAAATGAGAGATGCTAGGCGGAGGCTTACTTGTTGGGCACCAAGATGAAGGCTGACTAGGCATCCTTCCAAGGAATAACGATGTTGCTCCATGGCTTGACAGTTCTCCGCCATCAACATGCGGTTCTCCTCCATGGCTTGACGGTTCTCCGCCATCATCTTGCGGTTCTCCTCCAAAGCTTGAAGATTCTCCACCATCATCTTGCGGTCTTTCTCTAATATCTTGTGAAGTAACTTGATGTTGGTGGTTATATCAACACTTGGTGCCGCCGGTGACGAAGTCTCCACCATGCCATTGTTTCTGGAAACATCCTTCATCTCTTGGCCAAATTCAAACTTAGCCACATGCTTCTTCACAAGCCCAGGTAAGAGATCACCTTCTTGTTGTCTCTGTCTTGGAGCCATCAAATCAAACACAAGATCCCACCAGGTGTGCCAAATTTATTTTCCGGCGAGAAAACGATTTCTAAGACTTCTATGGACCTTTGACTTCTATGGACAACGATTTCTAAGACACGACTCAAACCTCTTCAAACAAAGTTCGAACGAGGGTGTTTGATTATTGGTTTTTGGTAACAAGATCTAAATTAAATTACTTCTACTCCTATGGAGGTTCGGCGAGAGCTCCAAACTACGAACTACATCTATGGCTACATGATAGAGAAAAGGTAAAGGATAAAATTGACATGTGCGTCAAAGTGTTGGTTTTGGAACCTCTGTCTCTGTTGACCCCTCCTCTTATTTATAGCCTCGAGGAGGTAACCGCCATAGAAAACCGCTTGTTGGATAACTCCTACAAAGAACCGCTCCTCCTTCTTCGGTAGAAAACTGCCTCTTGGATAACTCCCAAAAAGAACCGCTCCCTGCTTCCTCGAAGTGGTGGTTACTCCTTCAACCGCCTAGGTGCCTCTCTTGGAACCATCGTGGGTTTTGGAGTGTAGCTTGCCTCGCCTAGTATTGTTTTGAATCTCGTGCCATGCTACTCTTTTGACGAGCATGTAGTATCTCGCAAAGAAGGTCATGGTTCTCTTGTCTCATGGCCATGGATTTCTTACCCATGTCCATGGCCCACTTGGGACTTAGTCATTACTAATATAGTGCTCCACCACCACGCCCTTCTCATTCGTGTCCATGGACACTCTTGTGAAGTGGCATGGACTTCTCAATCATGCACAAGGCCCCTCTCATGCTGCGGCATGGCCTTTCCATACTTAGTATTTTCAATAATTTCTAATGCTTCTTGCTTCGCGTCCATGGCCATCACATGACACGGCTATGGACCCCTTAATCATGCACATGACCCTTCTCGTGAGGCGGCATGGCCTTCTCAGACTTGGTATATTTTGGATCATGAGGTGACATGGCCTCCTCATTCGCGGCCATAGACTTCTCAGTCATGTCTGTGGCCCTTCTCGTGACACAGCATGGCCCCCTTCTCATGAAGTGGCATGGACGTCTCATCTTGTCTCGCGTCCATGCCCCTTCTCGTGAAGTGGCATGGACCTCTCGTTGAAGTGGCACATGCTTCTCCTTGAAGCGGCATGTACCTCTTCCAGACTTAGCTTATTTTTCAGTCATTCCGTATTGGTCGCGAGGCGGCATGTGCTCCTCAATTTCTATATGGACATGGCCCTCTTCGTTGAGGCGGCATGTGCCTCTAGATTTTAGACGAACATGGCCCTCTTCGTTGAGGCGGCATGTCCCTCTCGAGACTAAGTGGTTTGGGCTTAAAATCAATATTCATAAGACCCAACTTAATCAACATTAATTGTTATAATGGGTGTGGCCTTATAAACTCATTAATTATCTTGTAACTCACCAATGTGGTACAAGATAAATTTTATGGTGTAAACAGAAGGTGAGCCAGATTGAAAAGTTCAATAATGTTGTGAGATCAACAATAATGTGAGTTCAATGGCATGAGGTTATCGAGCTCAATATGGTGAGTTCAACAGCGTCGAAGGTTGAGATCTCAACGACGCCGCGGTCGGTGGGTGACAATACCGTAAAGCTCAATATTGTTTAGTCTAAACGTCGCGAGTCTAAACGAATGACATGCAGGAAACTACACCACAAATTGATCCCGGCTAGAGCCCAAGTTTTTAAACCCTAGCTGAGTGCAGGAACCTCGCTGGATGCCTCGGTGTTCATGTTTTTTGGTCAAAGTTCACGGTCTTAGGAGACCGTAAACTGCCTCGTTTGGTCGTGAACTGCGGCTGTTTTTTTGGTTTTTGCGCATTTTGACCTCCAAATATCCCAAAACTCATCCTCGACCCTTCCACATGTGCTAGGACCTGAAATGTATCAAAACAAGCACAACCTAGCGTGAAATATGTCGAGGAACTATGAAATACTAAGCTAAACGAATAAGAAATGTTGGGTAAAATGTGTACATTTGAGCCCGAATCAACGACACCGCGAGCTGAGCCCTTGGTATGAGTGTCCCGAGTTTAACAATGCCGTGAATTTGGCGATTTTCTCCTAAACACGCCACGAGCTAAAATATCGTAATGAATTATGATGTGGTGAGTTCAGCGGTGCTGTGACTTTCACAAAGCTGTGAGGTCATTGATGTTATCATGGCTAATAAAGTTACGAGCACAACAAGGTTCTTTAACTCACGGCATCGATGTTGTTAGGTCAACGACATCGCGAGTTCAAAGATGTCGAGAGGTTGACGAAGTTGCAAGCTTATCAATATGAGGAGTTTGATGGTGTTGTGGGTCAAGGCATACATCGTTGTTTAATAAAAACATCTTCGCGAGTCTTACAAGATCGTGGTGTCAACAACACTATTGTTTGGTTAAGCACGATGTTACACCTGCGGAAAAACAATGTCGTGGTTCGAACAACAGAGTTGTTGGGTTGTGTTGCAGCTCATTTGTGTTCAGCGTGTAATTCAAGTGGAGAGAAGAGCATAAATGAGATCGAGGAGGTTGATGAGTGAGGGGCGTGGCAACTGCAAGACGGTTGCACAACGTGAGGATTACAAAGATGCTTTTGATAAAAGCGTTGGAGCAAGGAGAGAGAATGGGAGACAACAAAAAATAAACACAAAACAACTCTGTCAAAACTTTACATCTTTCTCTGTAACTACTTTGCGGAGCTCTCCTTCCAGGAAGGATCTTCATAGTCGTAGTCGTAGTGTAGTTGCGGAGCTCTCCACAGGAATCTCCATAGGAGTAGTCTAATGTAGATTCCACCAAAAATCTCAAACACCCTCGTTCGAACATTGTTTGGAGAGGTGTGACCGAGTAACAATCTTCTTGGTTTTCATAAGTCATAGGTGAAATAATCAAATCAACATCGCCCGAAACAATTTGGCACCCCCGGCGATGGATATTTGGTTTCCCGTGAAACAAAATCAATACCAGATGAAGAGGATCGAGTAACGTACCATGATCATCAACGATTGACGATAATGTGGGTTGGTTCGAGGGGAATAGTTGGTAACCCACTTAACGTATTTAAGTAGTTACACGACTTAATTGATTTACGTTCAAGTATTAATATGATTTCCATTTTATATTATTATGATCACTCGTTAAATTATGCTTCCGTAAGATTTTACTTTAAGTTTATTTATGTGAATTCCTTATATTCTAATGAGCATAGCATTGAAACCTTTCAAGGAATTTATAGAATTTATTCAAGAAATTATTGGCTATTTTTTCAAGCCTTCTGAGTCTAATTATGGTTAACGATTTAATAAGGGTATTTCAATAAAAATAGTGTTCGTCCTGATGAGAACTTGCATTTTAGTACTTTATTGTCATTTTATTATTTTTATTCGGATTATTGGACTATTCGGGAATTGGGGGAATAATCGGGTAGTAGTAGGGATTAGCCATTTTTATATAAACTACTTGTACGTGGAATTAAGGGATAAAGCAAAGATTAAAACCTAAAACCTAATATCAATTCCCTTCCTCTCTCTTCCCCTCTCTCTGCCGTCCAACTCTCCCCCCCCCCCTAACACTCGGCTGCACAACAACTGCCTCTTCCCCTTTCCTTCTTCTTTTCCTGGCCCCAAATCAATTCCCCTCTCTTCCTTTTTTCTCTCGACCCCAAACAATTTCCCTTCCCCTTCCTCTTTTCTGTGACACGGTGATCAATCCCTAATTGATCATTCCCAATCCCAATCCCTAGATAGAACTAAATCCACCGGGCTCTATCATATGGTATTAAAGCCCCGTTCTTGATCAAGGGCCGACAAACAAGATGGTGCTGAGGAAATCAATGACGACTGCTGAGAAGGATACCCAAGCCGCGCAGGAGAAGGCGGTCGCGGGAGGAGCTGCAAGTCAGGCTGGTGATGGAGAAGATATGGTGACTGCGGCGATTGTACCGCCGAAGCCAACCCAGGCCACCACCGCGCAAGCCAAACCAGCGCAGTCAAGGCCCCCACAACCGACGGCCAACAGAGGACACAAGGAGGGCGTGGTGGAGGATGTGACGGATGAAGAGGACCTTCGCACTATCTTGAAAAAGGTGCTGGTCGCACAAAAGTGGGATCAGGAAGCTCGCCAGGCAGACTCTCAAGAGATTTGGCAGGCTATTCGGAATCAGGAAGCTCGTCAGGCAGACTCGCAAGAGGTTTGGAAGACTATTGTCGAGCTGAGAGAGTTCGTGACGCAGCGACAGGGGCAACCGCAGTGCCAATCGGAGCCGCTCGGCGCCGGCGGTAACCGAGCCGGCGGTGCGGTGTTGGACGACGAGGGCGTAGCGACGACGGTGGCCGCGGCGGCGGCTGGGGTGACGCGTCCAGGGTTTGGCTCATCTTGGCCCAACATCATAGCGGGCCTGTTACCTACCCCCACGGCCCAGGAGCTGGCGGCTCGCAAGGGTAAGGCCAAGATGCCTGGCTACGACACCGATGGGCCTCTAACGATTGATGGGTCGGAGATGGGCGGGCGATTTGCGAGGGAAGGCAATTGGCTTGGATGGCTGGGCCTCAATGATGGGCTCAGCTTGGTGGACCGACAGGCGACCCAGTCATGGACCAGAGGAGTGGCGGACCGGGCCGGGCAGCTGACCCAACCGATCGGATGGGGTCGGCTCCTATGGGGCTGACCAGTACTGGGCGAACCAAACCAGGTCAACCTGTAGGTGGGTGAATCGAGCCGGGTCGATCTGAAGGCGGGCGGATCAAACTAGGTCGAGCCAAAGTGGGTCAAACCGGGCATCGACCCAATCCAACTAACCAGCCGCCAGGTAGAGCGGACAGCAAAGGGTCCGCGTGCTGGAGAGGGCCATATGGAGCGCCAGAAGCTCCAGGATGGTACCAGGAACAACAGGGCGGCCGTCAGGGCTGCTACGGACCTAGGTACTCGAACCCAGGGCAGGGATTCTCGCACGGGCAACCATGGAAAACACCGGGTGAGGACAGGTATGGTTCGTACTACCATACTTATGAGCGAACTGATGGCATAGTTTTCCGAGCTAAGCCTCCCACCATTGAGTTCCCAAGATTCAATGGGCAAGAGGACGCAGGTCTTTGGTTGTATGCAGCTAAGCGGTGGTTTAAAAACCACCCGATTCTAGAGGAGGAGAGAAAAGCTTACCTGACATCCTTCTACTTGTAGGGTGACGCGCTGTAGTGGTGGGAATGGATGGAGAGATACTATGCGGCAGTAAAGACCTTGATCACCTGGCCCATGTTTCAGGAGGAGCTCAGGTATCAGTTCGGGAAATCAGAAGAGTGGGCACCAGATCAGCTCGCGAAGCTAAAATAGACTGGCATGGTGGCCGACTATCGCGCTGAGTTCTTCAAGCTGGGTAAATAGTGCACGGAAGTGCCCGAGGAGACACTGGTGGGGTTGTGCATGGCAGCCTTCAAGCCCGAGATAGCGGCGGCCGTCAGAGTGTTCGAGCCGGATTATCTGAAGGCTGTTTTTCGTCTTGCAGGTCACAAGGATGAAGAACTTGCAAGTTGGCGGAGCACCATTGGCCGTTACCCGAGGCCAAGCGGAGGGGGTGGAAGTAGTGGAGCTGGTGGCAGCGGTGGGGCTGGCGGCAGCGGTGGTGGAGCCGCGGCGGGCAATGCTTCCGGAGCTAATAACGGGAGTGGGAATGCGGCACCAGTGGCCAGAGTGGGGCCGCGGGCTATACCTAAAGGGTTTGTGCGACTATCGCCGGCTGAGATCAAACAAAAGAGGCGGGATGGTAAGTGCTTCAACTGCGATGGTCGATTCATCATTGGCCATCAATGTCCGAAGTCGGACCTGATGATGCTCGTCGGACGCTGGGAAGACGAAGCCGATGATGCCGATGAGGACGTCGGAAATGGCGAAGAGGAGAATCAGTGAGCGGGAGGAACAACCTTGGGGACAAGGTTGCTTTTCGAAGAAAGGGGGGATGATGAGAACTTGCATTTTAGTACTTTATTGTCGTTTTATTATTTTTATTCGGATTATTGGACTATTCGGGAATTGGGGTAATAATCGGGTAGCAGTAGGGAATTAGCCATTTTTATATAAACTACTTGTACGTGGAATTAAGGGATTAAGCAAAGATTAAAACCTAAAACCTAATATCAATTCCCTTCCTCTTTCTTCCCCTCTCTCTGCCGTCCAAATCTTCCCCCTCCCCCTCCCTCTACACTCGGCTGCACAACAGCCGCCTTTTCCCCTTTCCTTCTTCTTTACCTGACCCCAAATCAATTCCCCTCTCTTCCTTCTGCCTCTCGACCCCAAACAATTTCCCTTCCCCTTCCTCTTTTCTGTGACACGGTGATCAATCCCTAATTGATCATTCCCAATGCCAATCCCTAGATAGGACCCAATCCAGCGGGCTCTATCACGTCTAGATTAGAGTGTTACAGTTAATTCCATTAATGTCTCAACAAAAAATTGTTATTGTGGCTGATCCATTGTGCCCATGTCATTAAATAATGATTTTTTTTTAATTTTCTGATTTTTTTTTATGAGAAATGAAAACAAAGCATAAAAAAAAGTCAAGACACCTAAATAATTTGGTCAAAATCCCTAAAAATCTTCTCTCTCAACTCTCATGAGCAACTATCTCTTTTTTTTTATACTTATGAGCAACTATCTCTATCTCTCATTCGCCGGTAAAATCCCTAATCTTCTTCCACATAGTACACTCGTCGGCTGTTGCTTCTCCGTGCCATTGTTGTGGCCACTAGTGCGCCTGATTTGGGCCTAATTGTACATGTTTTATTTCCGTTTTCCTTAGTCGTTTGTGGCAATTGTGCTCCTAAAAGGGTGGTTTTACACTAGGTTTCTCGTGTTTTAGCGTGTTTCAGGATTTAACAAGTGAAACCAGCCCCAAAGTCAAAAGTTTGACGAAAAGGAGCGAAAACCGGGAGAAGAGGTGAAAAACGGCGAGTTCACGGTTTGCCTTGGATGTTCACGGTCTTGTATGACCTTAAAGAAGAGCCGTTGGCCGTGAACATTGAGGCGTCCAGGGCCAAAATGCAAGTTACTGATGCTAATTGAGTTCACGGTCGCTAAGACCGTGAACAGAAGTTGTTGGCCGTGAACCCATGGAAGCAAAGCGGTGCGCTTCGGCGCCCATCTGGAGTTCACATACGCGTTTCAGTCTTCATGGCTGTGAACTCAAGCCGTGAACTCAGGGCGTGAACTGAGCTCGTTCATTGTTTAAAAGCTGAGCTGAAATGAAGAGAGAGGGGAGAGCCCATTATGCTCCAAGGTGGAATTTGGGAAGATTCTCCTCAAGAGAAGTTCAACACAAGGGTCTAGAAGATTGAAAGCCTCCCTCAAGATGGTTTCTACCTCTTCTTCTTGTGTTTCTCTCATTTCTAGCATGGAGTAGATTTCTTTTCACTATGGATGGCAAACCAAATCCGCCCCAGTGAATTTTCCCCGATCCGACCTACAATGGGGCAAATAAAATCCGATCTATTCTTCAACGGAGCGCATCTCGACCCGATCCACTATTAGAATAGAGCGGATATGGATATAAGTTGCTAAACCGCTCTGCTCCGCCCGTCTACTAGTCTAATGCGATCTGTAAGTGGAAGAAAGGCCCTTTCACTTTCAGGTGGAGCACGCGCGTACTTTCACTTTAGCCTTTTAATAATTTTCTCTACCTCGTTAAATGTAGCCGTTCTTGCATTTTAATGTTTCTTTTCACTTTATAGCACTATATCATAGATAGAGAAAGAGTGAGTAAAGGATTGAGAGAAGGGAGAAGCTCCCTCCCTCCATCACCGTTGGATCCCTTCCTTTCCATCGACCCTCTTGTCATCACCGCCGTTGTAGCACCTCTTCCGCACCTTTCTCCAGTTCGCTTCCTCTCCTTCCTTTTTCCTCCATCTTATCATCCCCATCCTGTTCCGATTATCCTTTTGTGCAGTTTCCTTATTGTCCCAATCCAATCACTCTAATCGATTGCGACGCCACAACTCCAACGACAATCAATGGCTGGGAGTGGGAATGACTCCGCAACGAAGGTTACATCGCCACTAGGACCTACCTTCCTCTCGCCCTCCCCATCCTCTGTTCGATTCTCTCCACCGTCAGTCGTTTCCTCTAGATGGCAGGGCAGAGCGGATTTTTTCCGCTCCGTGCGAGGCAAAACTCGGGGAAAAAAATATCTACCCATCCTGGAGCATGGGGCAGTGCGGGTTGCAAATTAGAGGGCAGGGTAGATCATAGGTATAGTAGTATCCGCCCCAAACATGACCCGTTGCCATTCCTACTTTTCACTTAAGTGTTGTGAAACCCTAACTAGCTACCATGTAGTTTCTTCTATGTGAATTGAATGATTGTCATTGGGTATTGTTTAATTCAATGATTGAGGTATTATTCATGTGATTGTGCATGCTTGTGCTTAGCAATCTAAGGATTGTGCATGTTTTGTGCTTAGCATCCTTAGGTTTGTCCATGTTGGTGCTTAGCAACCTAAGGATTGTGCATAATTATGCTTAGCATCCTTACGTTTGTGCATGTTGGTTCTTAGCAATCTAATTAGCCACTTTATTCTATATTAGAGAGGAAAATCCCCCTTCCAAGGGAGACTCAATCGAGTTGGTTTTCCTTTAGCTTTTCAAGCCACCTAATTTAGGTTAATTTAGGGCAAACCTCAATGTTGAATTAAGCAAATTGGTTAAGTGCGATTAAGCCATCCAACCCTTGAGTTGAGTTAGGGAGTAAGTAAACCACCGATTACCTAAACCGAGAGGGCCGAGTGACACGACCTATAATGTATACCTCGGTTTAACAGCCGAGAATGTGGTCTACGACCATATTTGCATTTGTCAGAATAGAAGCGTGCAATCAATAATCCAAACCAACACGAACGAACACAAATTTAATGTGGTTCGCTATCACAATGTGTGCTAGTTAATCCACGGGCAGGGGAGAACAAATTTCACTGATTTGAGGAGAGTACAGGTTACAAAGCAAATTCCGGAATGGACAAACCAAACAAACTAACCTGACTGACCTTACTACAAACTAGGGTGATGAAGAGTATTTATAGAACTCTTCTCCTAATCCCAAACAGAAAACCAAATACCTTTTCCCAAACCTACAAGGAAAAAGGCCAAACCCAAACAGAATAGGCCCAAAACACAAAACAAACCAAATCAAATTCAAGTCATATTCTAACAATCTCCACCTTGACTTGAATTCTCTCTCAAATACCATATGTACCAGACGCAACCAAAGTCGCCAGATGTACCCAGACGCGATCCATATCGCCAAACTCAAACGCGATGCAAATTGCCAGACTTAGACGCAATCAGAAAATTGCCAAACGTACTAACTCCTCCAAATCAGTTGTACCAAAATCTCCCCTGCCTCCAAATGCCCCTAAGGGCGGTTAACAAATCAAAACATGCAGCAATTCCAACCCATGTTGGGACTTGCCATTCAGAACCAACTTGGTGTTATTTCCGTCCATAACCCTAACATCATATTGAACTCTAACTTCAAACTTGCAGCTCCAAATTGACTTGTCGATCTTCAAATCCAGAACAAACATCCTTGATGATCGAAAAATCCTAACCACCACCCAAGGACAACAACCAAATTATGCAAAACACTAAACGAGACAAAAGCTAGCTGCAACTTCAAAGCGCACAAAAGCTAATGAATTGTGATAATAATAATAAAAATTCACAATTCCATCCAAATTGTCAGAATAACCGCACATTCCCAAGGTCGCTGCTTTCTTCAAACTTTGGGACAACTAATATTGTGATATTAATCACAATTTATGTTCGAGGCAAACCAATGAACGAGTTTGCCAGTCAATTTGCGATGCAGTCAATAGCTTCTACTGGAAACTCAAAGCTAGGAGAAACCAAAAAACTCCACCGCGAACCAAAATTGGTGAACACCTGAAGCGATTCCTCCGCCAACCCAAATCGAAAACTATCTCCTGATACAATGGAAGTCGTGTCGATCTCCACCAATTATTTTGACTCAATCCGTCAACTAGCAACGCGATCCTAACATCCGCGTAGACTGTTCAAATAACCCAAAATCAACCGCGGCTCTGATACCACTTGTCAGAACAGAAGCGTGCAATCGATAATCCAAACCAACACGAACGAACACAAATTTAACGTGGTTCGCTAACACAATGTGTGCTAGTTAATCCACGTGCAGGGGAGAACAAATTTCACTGATTTGAGGAGAGTACAGGTAACAAACCCAATTCCGAAATGGACAAACCAAACAAACTAACCCGAATGACCTTACTACAGACTAGGGTGATGAAGAGTATTTAAAGAACTCTTCTCCTAATCCCAAACAGAAAACCAAATACCTTTTCCCAAATATACAAGGAAAAAGGCCAAACCCAAACCCAAACAGAATAGGCCCAAAACACAAAACAAACCCAAATCAAACTCAAGTCATATTCTAATAGCATCCCTCTGCGGTTCGCGGTTACCTTTCCCATAGCAACCGTTTCAATTCACATAGCATGGTAGTAGTTAGGGGGAAGCGACACCCGAGTGATCCTTCTCACAAAGAGCTTTCAAAACCATTTACCTTTGCCTATTTTATTTTAATTAGCAAACTTTTCAACCAAAACTTTGTTGCTAGATAATGATTCAAATGACTGAAGTAGGGGTACACGGACCAGCCCGGGTTGATATTTAAACATACTTATCCTGTAATGCACCCGGCTAAGGTTTATACTTGGGCCTTAGGAAGGAATTTTTTGTGGTATTCGGGACGAGTCATGTTTTTGGCGCCGTTGCTGGGGAACAACGGTATGTTATCTTGAAAAAGTTGTTTGGTGTTAATCTAGCTTTTAATATCCAGTTTTGAAAGTGTGAGCTTTGCATGTGCTAGACTTGGTGTGTTTTCCGATTGTGTGTAGGTGGGGCATGACCCGGAGTAACTCCGCACCTTTGCTACCACTTGACGAGGACATAAACCGAACTCTTCGGCTTCTAGCAAGGAAGAGAGAGCTAGCGGAGGCAATGAGGAGTGAAATAAGGGGACAACATTTGGGTCCTGGTGTTAGTGGAGAAGAAGTTGAAGAAGTGGAAGTTGAACTCGTTGTTGTAGTAGAAATGGCGTGGAACCAAAGACAAGATGGAGCCTCCCAAGCTTGTCAGCTGAACGATGCGGCAGAGGAAGAGGAAGCCCCGAGGATGATGGGATACTATATTGCCACAAGGCCGGCGGACATTTAATCGCCAATCCTACATCCTCCGGTGGCGGCAAACAATTTCGAGATCAAGCCGGCTCTAGTGACTATGATACAAAGAAATTCTTTATTCCATGGCCTTGAGAGCGAGTCACCAAGAGAGCACGTGAAGAGATTCTTGGGACCCGCGGGGAGCTTGAAAATCAATTGTTTGCCGGCCGAAGCTTTGCAACTAAGGCTTTTCCCGTATTCACTTTCGGGGAAAGCACTTAGGTGACTAAACAATCGCCCACCTCAGTCAATCACCTCATGGGATGACCTCCTCAACAAGTTTATGACTCTCTACTGCCCGCCTTCGAAGACGGCGGAGTGGAGAAAGAAGATTACCCATTTCGAGCAGGAAGAGGACGAGACCTTGAGGGACGCTTGGGAGAGGTACTCCGATTATTTTCTTTAGTGCCCTCACCACGGGTTTGAAGAACAATTCTGATTGAAACCTTCTACGGTGGCCTAATCCAAGAAGACAAAATCCTCATTGCCTATTTGTGTCAAGGGAAATTGATGAATATGGCTCCGCTCCAAGTAGCCGAGATACTTGAAGACATGGCCCTCAGGCGATACAATTGGGGGTTGACTAATAGTGGAAGGAGAAGCAATGACAGGGGAGTGAAAAGCGTGGGAGCGAGTGCTTCGCTTGAGGCGAAGTTGGATAAGTTGATATAGAGGTTATGCTTGAAGATAAGAGGCAAGGAAAAAGGTTGGTGATGTCGTGCGACTGGTGCTCGAGCACTAGCCATGAGATGGCGGAATGTCAAGCAATGAAGGAGGCAACGGCCCCGGAGGAACAAGTCAACTTCGTGGCAAATGCTAGGGTCAACAACCCGTATAACAATACTTATAGCCCCGGATGGAGGAACCACCCCAACTTTTCTTGGTCATCACCGAGTAATCCGAGTCCCCCGGGTTTTCAAGGCCCCACGAGAAATTTCAAACCTCGGCCGACCTTCATCCAACAAAGGCCCCAAGTCCAAGGATCAAGCTTCCAACAATCGTACCAAGCACAAGGTGGCCTAGTGTTTCAATAACAACAACAACCCTACAAGCTATCTAAGCTTGAGGACCTAGTGAACGCCTTTGTGAGTACGAGTAGCCAAAAGTTCGAGAAGATAGAGCAATTTATGGATGTGGCGACTACCTAGTTTACCTCAGTTGAGGTGGGACTCCGAAGCCATCAAGCGAGCCTCCAAAGTTTGGAGGTGCAAATTGGCAACCTTGTCGGCATCCTCACTGAGAGACCCAAGGGAGCTTTACCTTCCCAAACCGTGTCGGACCTCAAGGACCATGCCGGGGTAAATGCACTTCAAGTGAGGAGTGTGAAGGTGGTTCCAAAAGTCGCCATTGATGAAGAGAAAGAGAAGGAAGATACCAACAAGGAAGAGACCAACCCGAAGAAGGGAGAGAAGAAGCCCTCAAGGAATGAGAGGAAGGAGACAAGGAAGGCATCGTCGGTGGGGGCGTACACACCACCTCTTCCTTATCCCACAAGGATGTACAAGGAGAGGTTGTAGAACGAGTGTGGAGGTTTCATGGAAATGCTCCGCAACCTCCACCTCAACATCCCTTTCCATGAAGCCATGGCTCAAATGCCAAAATATGCCAAGTACCTCAAGGGATTCCTCGCGAAGAAGCCAAAGCTTGAAAGCCTCGCCAACGGGACTCTTGGCGAGGAGTGTTCGACTTACCTCCTCAACCGCTTGCCCAAAAAGTGGTCCGACCCAAGTAGCTTTACTATCCCTCTTGATATTGGCAACCATCATATAGACAATGCCTTGGCGGACCTAGGAGCTAGTGTTAATGTGACGCCCTACAAGCTTTTCAAAAAGTTAAACGTAGGTGAACTTAAGACCACTAAGCTTAGCATCACGTTAGCTGACCGTTCGGTCATTAGCTCAAGAGGTATAGTGGAGGACATGATGGTGAGAGTGAGCAAGTTTTGCTATCTGACCAATTTCATGATTCTCGACATAAGTGAGGACTCGGATATGCCACTCATCCTCGATCGTCCCTTTCTTTCCACCGCCAAGGCATTGATAGACGTTAATGAGGGGACCTTAATTCCGAGGGATGGTAAGGAGAAAATCAAGCTTGAAATTGACCCTAAGGTTAGGAGAGATGAAGTGAAGAGAGTGGTTTCAAATGATGTCAATGAGAGAGCCTCTCAAGGCAAACCCCACCATTACTTGTGTTGCTTTTGGTTATGTTGAGCCGGAAGTTAAGAAGGGTTCTATGCCCAAGCGATCAAGGATGAATGCTTGGAGGCGAAGGATGAAGGGAGCTTTGGCCCGAAAGATGGGGGAGGCCGAAGCAACGTTGGCCAATCAAGAGGGCCAACTCAATGAGCCTAAGATGGGAGGCTACAAGCCTCGCCTCGAGAGTGTGGTGGATCGGCTCTCGGTGGCATCAGTTTCAAAGTTGTGATCGATCCCCAACCGTCAAGCTAATGACGCTAAATTAGCGCTTGTTGGGAGGCAACCCAACGGAGGTTTGTTTTCTTTTCCTTATTTTCATTTTTGTGTCAAGTGAAGAGTTCAAGTGGTAAAGTGGTGTCCCCGTGCCAACTTTGTGGTTTTGCGATTTAAGGTTGTGTTGTGATCGATTAGGAGGCTGGATGGAATAGGTTGAGTCAAATTTTTCTCAGAAGTGTCCTGTTTTCTCTGATATTCACGGACGGATTGCGATGTTCACGGTCTTGCAAGACCGTGAACAGACAAACACGTCGGTGAACTGGACGCTTCTGCATGTTCACCACCTATCGACCAACACCAGTTCACGGACGCATTTGCGTGTTCACGGTCTCTAAGACCGTGAACAAGGCAACGGGTCCGTGAACTCCGAGCAGTCCCTATAAAAGGGGCGTGAAAGGCGAATCTTCACTTCACGACCAAATCTAGCCGGAAAATTCAAAATGCAAAACTCCGTCAGTTTTTCGATTTGTCTCCCATTTCCTGCGAGCAAAACCCAAAACCGCTTGTAAAGCTATTTCGTCGAGTGCGCGATCATGACAGGACTCGAGGAAGAAGCCCCGACTAACTCCGTGCCAGCAGCCGCCGTAAGACGGGGGGGGGGGGCAAGTGTTCTTCGGAATGACTGGGCGTAAAGGGCAAACACCATACCCATTCTTCCCTCATCAAAAGCGGCCTATGCTGAAATTTTGGGAAGTTTGGGGCAACTTTTTTCCTGTAAAGTCACCGGCGGCGAGTCTCCGACGAGCTTCCGACGAAGCTCCGGGGACCCCTCTCCTGACTGGTTTTCGGTCATTTTTCGCATTCCTTGCCCGCACCTCACTTCCTCCTACGTCCTACTTGCGTTTCCAGGTTGGTTTTTCGGCTTTACCTTATTAATTGTGGAGAATCGGATTAGGTAGTGAAGTGAGGATGATTTTTGTGCTTCGAATGTTGAACCTAGATTTATGGCGAGGAATTAGGTTAATTAGGTCGATTGAATGATGGAATGATTTTTGCATGAGCTTAGTTGACCGTGAAGAATAGCCGTTGGCCGTGAACATTGAGGCGTCCAGGGCCAAAATGCAAGTTACTGACGTTAATTAAGTTCACGGTCGCTAAGATCGTGAACAGAAGTTGTTGGTCGTGAACCCGTGGAAGAAAAGCGGTGTGTTTAGGCGCCCATCTGGAGTTCACTGTTTAAAAGCTGAGCTGAAAGGAAGAGAGAGGGGAGAGCCCATTGTGTGAGAAAGCCTTCTTCATATTTTTAGAGAGAGAAACACGAACCAAATGAGAAGGAGGCTAGGGTTTTGCTCCAAGGTGGAATTTGGGAAGAATCTCCTCAAGAGAAGTTCAACACAAGGGTCTAGAAGATTGGAAGCCTCTCTCAAGATGGTTTCTACCTCTTCTCTTTGTGTTTCTCCCATTTCTAGGATGGAGTAGATTTCTTTTCACTTGGTGTTGTGAAACCCTAACTAGCTACCATGTAGTTTCTTTTATGTGAATTGAATGATTGTCATTGGGTATTGTTTAATTCAATGATTGAGGTATTATTCATGTGATTGTGCATGCTTATGCTTAGCAATCTAAGGATTGTGCATGTTTTGTGCCTAGCATTCTTAGGTTTGTGCATGTTGGTGTTTAGCAACCAAAGGATTGTGCATAATTGTGCTTAGCATCCTTACGTTTGTGCATGTTGGTGCTTAGCAATCTAATTACCACTTTAACCTAGATTAGAGAGGAAAATCCCCCTTCCAAGGGAGACTCAATCGAGTTGGTTTTCCTTTAGCTTTTCAAGTCACCTAATTTAAGGCAAACCTCAATGTTGAATTAAGCAAATTGGTTAAGCGCGATTAAGCCGTCCCACCCTTGAGTTGAGTTAGGGAGTAAGTCAACCACCAATTTCCTAAACTGAGAGGGCAGAGTGTCACGTCCTATAATGTATACCTCGGTTTAGCAATCGAGAATGTGGTTTAAGACCATATTTGCATCCCTCTGCGTTTCGCGGTTACCTTGCCCATAGCAACCTTTTCAATTCACATACCCTGGTAGTAGTTAGGAGGAAGCGACACCCGACTGATTCTTCTCACAAAGAGCTTTCCAAACCATTTACCTTTGCCTTATTTTATTTTAATTAGCAAACTTTTCAACCAAAACTTTGTTGCTAGATAATGATGAAAATGACTGAAGAAGGGGTACACAGACCGTCCCGGGTTGATATTTAGACGTACTTATCCGGTACTGCACCTGGCTAAGGTTTATACTTGGGCCTTAGGCGGGAATATGTTGTGGTATTCGGGAAGAGTCAGCGCCCCAATTCGAGACCTAATGAAAAGCTCTCGATCAGTGTAAGGATCGTTGTTCGCTTAATCTGACGAATGAAGGAGATGGAAAGAAGAAGAAGAGATGATTTGGGAGGGAATAGAGGTCTCGATTTATTGATATCTATCTACAATTGGTAACGTAGCTACCAGTTTACAGATTGGTCAAATAATTATTTTCTATTATAACTATAGCTATTTATACTCTTGACTCTTTACACACGTCATCATGCTAATTGTCTCGGGTTGTTACAAACCCTCCCCCTTCAAAGACAGCTTGTCCTCAAGCTGTAGTCAAGCTGGAAAAGTAGGATGTAGTGCTTTGAAAGGAAGCAAGTCCCACGTAGTCTCCTCTGGAGACTGATGCGTCCACAGCACAAGGACTTGCGTGATATCCTGGTTGCTCTTGTTCACAAATCGTCGAGCCAAAATCTGTTGAGAAGCCAGCTTCAAGGACCCATTGTCATCAGACTCAGGAAGTTGCAGGGTAGCAGGTGGGACAGTGGAACGACACAATTTCAGCTGGGAAACGTGAAACACAGGGTGCACTCTGGAACTGGCCGGCAAAATAGAGAGCCCCAAGTTTTTTACCATGTCGCCCCACCACAAAACCTTGGCGATAAGGCTGCAGGAGAAGGTAGACCCAATCTCCCAGCTGCAGTACCCTCTCCGAACGTCGTTGATCAGCATATTGTTTTTGCGTATTTTGAGCCTTCACAATATTGTGAGTCAAGAACTGAACCGACTGATCCTGCCTTGTAACCCGCTCTTCAACAGCCCCTACTGAGGTAGCATGAGTGTGAGTAAGACCGAAGAAGGTAGGAGGGAATCCATAGAGAGCTTCAAAAGGGGAAATTTGTAGAATGATGTGAAAATGAGTATTATAACACCATTCTGCCAATGTAAGCCAGTCAGCCCAATCTTGAGGATGATGGACGGTCATACAGTGAAGGTAATCCTCGAGGACCGATTGACTCTCTCGGTCGGCCCATCTGTTGCCGGTGATAGGCCGTGGAGTAATGAATATCAATATGCTGTAACCTGAAAAATTCTGTCCAAAAACTTCTTGTGAATGTAGCGTCTCTGTCACAAACAATCATAGTCGAGATACCATGGTTTCTGAAAACTCCATCAAAGAACACTAGAGCCACCAGCAGAACTTGTTTACCTTGAGACAAGGGTAGACCCTCCACGAAATCCATGATAATAACTTGCCAAGCTTGTGTAGGTATAGGCAGAGGTTGCAAGAGTCCAGGAGAAGCGAGAGTCTCAGCCTTACAGCGCTGGCAAACATCGCATTGAGCTATAAACTGAGTAACATCAACCTTCATACCCCTCCAGTAAAAATAAGCCTTGAGACACTCGTAAGTCACTTGGGCCCCCGAATGCCCTCCAATAGGCAAAGAATGAAACAAATGGAGAAGTTTGTTACGCATAAACCCAGTTGAACCAACTACAATTGCACCATTGTACCTGAGAATCCCAGCCACAAAAGACCAGAGAGAGGGTCCATGAGAATTCACTGCCGTCGCTGCAATCAACTCAGCCACCTCGGAATCTGCCTCATTAGTTTGCTCAATTTCTATTAACCATTATGGCAACATAGTAGTAAGAGCATTACACTCCCCCAAAGTCGAATCATCATAAAAAACACTAGATAGACCGTCAGCAGCTCTGTTGTACTTTCCCTTTCTACACTTGATTTGGAAGTCCAGAGCCATGAGTTTAATAAGACCCTTCTTTTGTATGGCTGTATGAACTTTATCTCCTAGCAAGAATTTCAAAATTTCATGATCCGAAACGATAGTAAACTGGCGCCCTTCGAGGTAATGCCACCAATGATTGACTGCCAGTAAAACATCGAGGTATTCTTTCTCATAGGTGCTCAACCCTTGATTCCGCACCCCCAAGGCATTGCTGAAGTAAGCAAGGGGCTTACCACCTTGAGACAATAAAACCCCTACACCTGTGCCACAAGCATCTGTCTCTACGGTGAATTCCAAAGTAAAATCCGGTAGAGCAAGAACTGGTGTTGGTGTAATGGCAATTTTTAATGTTTCAAACGCAGCCTCAGCCTCAGGATTCCAATGAAAGCCACATTTCTTCAAAAGGGCAGTGAGAGGACGGCTATGATACCATAGTGCCGAATGATTTCCTGTAATAACCCGTTAATCCAAGAAAACCCCTCAAACCTTTAACAGAATGGGGTCGTGGCCATTGCTTCATAGCTGCCAGTTTAGATTGATCAGTAGAAACACCTTCTTTGGTGATAATGTGACCCAAATACTCCACCCTGGGCTGTCCAAATGATCACTTTGACTCTTTAGCAAACATGTGATGATCCCTCAACAACTATAAAGCAATCGAAGGGTGTTGAAAGTGATCTTCATCCGACTGGCTGTACACTAGAATATCGTCAAAAATACCAAGATAAACTGCCTCAGATATTGGCCAAAAACATTATTCATAAGAGCTTGGAACGTTGCTGGTGCGTTAGTCAATCCAAAGGACATTACCCTAAACTCATAATGACCCTGGTGAGTGCGAAAAGCAGTCTTGAACCTGATCTGCAGGATGCATTCGAATCCGATGATACCCTGCCCTAAGATCCAGCTTCAAAGAGATAACAACCCCATGTAATTCATCAAAGAGATCTTCAATATGGGGTATATGGAATTTGTTTTTAATAGTTCCAGCGTTTAGCTCCCTATAATCCACGCAAAAAAGCCAAGTTCCTTTTTGCCAATCAGAAGAACTGGGGATTCATAAGGACTGTGACTTCCTTGGATAAATTCTGACTGAAGCATCTCGGCCACCAATTTTTCAGCCACTGCCTTCTTGAGATCCACCTGAAACGAACTGACTGTCTCTAACCAGTCCCAATCCAGCACCAAGTCATGAGCCGGTAAGTCGAGAGTTCTCACATCAAAATCAAAATCTTGGCCTTGCATCTTCCAATTAAACCCTCGGCATACAAAAGTACTCAACAGGGTATGACCACTAGCCACCTTAACTTGCATTGGAGCAATACTCTCTATTCTACAACTTAATTCTTCTACCTTAAGGGAATTAAGGAAAGTGTGGGAACTGCCAGTGTCAATCAGAACTTTTACCTCACGCCGACCTGCTGTATCTGGAATTAGTAGGGAGTTGCGCACAAACTTAGTCCCCATCGCTTTCAAAGAAACTTCCAACTTGGCATCCTGAAACTCCTCTTCCAAATCGTCCTCTTCGCTGCACAATGGAGAAACATCTACTTGCATTGACTGTAGTTGCTTCCGTTTGTTGCACACAAGCCCGTGGAATTACTTGTCACCGCACTTATAGCAAAGGCCTTGCCCACCTGAAACCGTTGGCCGATGAATGGCATCAGAAGAAGGAGGCGGTGAAAGTTTTGCCAAAATAGGTGGAGCAGCAACCGGCCAGCGACTAGAAGAGGAAGCATAAGATTTCCGCTTGCGAGCTTCAACGGCGGATTCCTCCAACCTCGCTTGATAGAAAGCACAAGCAAGAGTGGGAGGATTGAGGACCTGAACGTGCGGCTGAATTTCTTCTTCCAGACCCCCCAAGAAACTCATGATGAAATAATCTTCGTTCAGCTCCGGATTAAGGCGAAGCATATGCGAGCGTAAATCCTCAAAATCCTCCTGATTCGAGGCGAGGATAATGATCCAGAATCGTCGGACGACTCTGGTGTTGGCGGAAGTGATGATGCTCTAAAGATTGACCGTGAATGGAGTGTGGCGACGATTGAACAGGAGAGTGCTCTCGGAGATTAGCCAAGGACGCCATGAGAGCGTCAATATTTTCCTTCTTCGAAGCCTCCAAGGTCGAGATTGCGTCCTTGAGCTCGTGATGTTGAGAAGCCATTTGCTGCTTGACCTCCACCATTTGAGTCTCCAAATCGACGATGCGAGACGTGTTCATCACCATTGCCAGATTTCAAGCTTCTGATACCACTTGTAAGGATCGTTGTTGGCTGACTCTAGCGAATGAAGGAGATGGATGGAAGAAGAAGAAGAACAGATTTGGGAGGGAATATAGGTCTCGATTTATACTCTTGACTCTTTACACACGTCATCAAGCCAGCTGGCTCGGGATGTTACAGTCAGAACTAAAACCCTCGTCAATCAATCCAATCCTCTCAAACAACTGCCTCCGCCTGACAATACGTCTACTTCGTGATCCACAAGTCTACGACAGGCAGTGAGGGAAGACACATAAAGTCAGTTGACGTTTGTGGTGCTGGTTTTTTGTGGTGCTAGTTTTTTGAAGCCTCCCACCAGTATTTTGACTCATCCTTGACCCACAATCACCGCTTCTAGGTGGCGTTGTGCTCACTGATCCACCTCCCCAACTAGGAGCTTGAACCCAATCCGGTGAACCTGTCGTCGCCGTAGATACCACGAAATCAAAATCATTCATCACTCGATGCCCTTCCGATGAGTAGGGCTTCGATCTCCAGTGAAAGGAAGAACTCCATCGCCACCTACGACTTCATGCAAGTCATTTTCTACCGTTAGATTATCCGGAGAATATGATGGAGTAACTCGGGAGATAGTTGGGGTTCTTGGGGTTGATCTCGACAATCACCCAGAAGAGAGTGAGTAGGCGCCGAACAGCGGCAAAGGCGAGAGAAGATTGCATTTGCGGCATCGGGAAATGATAAGGGGTTTGTGGTCCTCGTCACCCCTTCTCTCCCAAATATTTGTTTTACATGTCCAGTTTATTTTTTTTTTTGAAATAATAATAAGTGTTAAATGAATGTCATGCGTTACCATCTCGACACTGAATGCTGAGTTGCTGACGGAATAAATGTTTGGCCGTTAGTATTAATGGTCAACCCAAACGTTAGACCAAATCTATCTAATAATTTCAAAAGTTTGCCACACAATTGTCTTATTCGAAAAATCGGGTCAAAATTGACGCTTACGCTAAACTTCGGGCCAAACTAGGGTATTAACCTTTATTAATATAAGGGTTAATAACATTTTCTATCATTCTACTATCGCCAATTAGCAAACGTATCCTTCTACTAATTTTTTACGCAAACTTACCTTTCTACTATTAAAACGTAACATATGTATCTTCTGTCTAATTATCCATTAAACGGCTGTTAAGTGGATTGGAAATGACCTAATTGTCCCTCATTTGGTGAAGCTAATTTATTTTTAATTATTAATGATTCCTATATAATGAAAATTAAAACAAATCCTAAAGAAATCCTGCCTCCTCTGAAGCATCCGCCACCTATCATTCCCCAGCGGCGGCTCCCGGTTTCTCCTCGTTGGCGGCTAGAGTAAGAAGGGCCGCTCGCCGATCCCCGGTTTTGATCCCTCTTCTGTTGGAAATGAATAAGTGAATAGCTTTTGAAAGTTATAGGTCCGAAGGTTAGAATACCACATAGGTGGGAGAACTCCTACCAAACTGGTATAAAGATTGGGTTCTCTCACCGAAGGACATGCCCCTTGGGGTGACCCACTTTTGTGGGAGAGTGGGGACTGACTTATATTTTTAGAGAATTTTTTTTAGTCCAGTTGGTTTAGAGATATTGGTTTTTTAAATAAATTTTGAATTATTTATTTATTAATTAATTATGAAGAAATTATCTTATATCCCTAATAGATACGAAGATAATTAACACAATGGAATATTCGAGAGATAATTCCTCGCCGGAATTATCTTACCGACGCGGTTTAATTTAGGAAGTAATTATCATCCTAATTAATTCGACTTATACCCCAAGTAAGAGGTTATATTCTTAGGGGTTTTGGCTCCTATAAATAGCCATCTCCCCGGTCCCTCTAAACACATCACCAACGAGCAGAAACATGAGAGAGAGAGAGAGAGTGTGTGTGTTCAAAGAGCTCCGGTTTTCTCACAAAACGCCGAGCACAAGAGGAGCTGTTTTATCCTGGAGATGACTGGTTGATAGTCTGTTGTGCACAACGAATGCAGTTTTGCGAGCATCTTAAAGAAAGCGACCTAGTCCGTGACTCAGTTCCAGATTCGGTAAACCATTCTCCTTGTTGTTCTGTTCCTAACAATTTTAAGACGTTTTGCTGCTACTATGGCGACTGAACATAAAAACATGTTCGGATCTGGTGCTATCGATATCAATCGACCCTTCCACTTTGTTGGAGTCAACTTCCGTCGCTGGAGACGAAAGATGGGGTTCTGCCTGACGACCAAGAAGTTAGCACACTGCCTCACCAACATGCCCGTCTAGTTACCGAAAGAAGCGACCAATGAGGAGAGGGTTGCTTCCGCTAGGGAAAGGGAGCATGACTTTTTGTGCAAGAACTACATCCTCAATATCCTGGAAGACCATCTCTATGACTGCTATGCGGGCAAGAGAAAAACCGCAATGATGGTCTGGGATGCTGTCCAAAATAATTACGACACGGAGGAGGCTGGAGCAAAAAAGTATGTTGCCAACCACTACCTGTGCTATCAAATGGTGGAAGACAAGTTTGTCGAAGTTCAATCACATGAACTTAGAAAAATAGCTCTTGAGATCGTTTCTGCAGGTATGCCACTGGACGATCAGTTTCAAGTTGCTTGCATTATTGATAAGCTGCCCCCTTTGTGGGAAGATTTTAAGAATATGCTTAGACATAAAATAAAAGAATTTTCACTTGAAAGTTTGATTACTCGCCTAAGGATAGAGGAAGAGTCACACAAACAGGATATGGAAGAAGAGGTGATGGTCTTCAATGCTAAACGACCCACCCCTAGAGCTCTAAAACCTAACCAAAAAGGTTTCAAGAGTCAGAACCAGAATATCTGCCCTAAACAGAATGGTGTCCCTCGGGGCAACTAAAGGGTTATGGCCTAGTCCTCATAATGATACTCCATTTCTCTGCTATAACTGCGGGAAACCGGGTCATATGGCACGAAAGTACAGAAACAAGACTAACACTGCTACTGCAGCAAGGGTTAACTTGACAGAAGAGAACTTGGTAGCCATGATCACGAATATGATTGCTGAAGTCAACCTCACCGGTGACTCAGAAGGATGGTGACTGGATACAGGTGCGTCTAAACATGTATGCAACAATCGTGCTATGTTCAAGACATACCCAGAAGCATCTGCTGACAAGAAAGTTTTGTTGGGGACTGCCCACACCACTATGGTTGCTGGTTCTAGGGAAGTGGAGCTGAACTTTACCTCTGGAAAGAAGATGGTGCTCAAAGATGTGTTGCACACTTCAGAGTAAGGAAGAATCCTATTTTGGGGTATCTTCTTAATAAGGTTGGGTTTAATCAAGCTATTGGGGCTGACTTCTATACCCTTACTAAGAATGAGAGTTTTGTTGGAAAGGGATATGCATGTAATGGGATGTTTAAGTTGAATTTCGAAGTTATTAAGATGAATTATTTAATTTACATGGTGTGTGATTTGAATGTTTGGCATGCTCGTCTTTGTCATGTGAACACACTAATTGTGAAGAATTTAAGCAACTTAGGACATATCCCTAAAATCTCAACGAATGAATTTGATAAATGTGATTTATGTAGCCAAGCTAAGATAACGAAAATGCCCCATAAATCCGTGGTTAGAGAATCCGAACTCATCGATCTAGTACATTATGATATTTGTGAATTAGATGAGTTATTAACTAAGTCTTGCAGGAGATACTTTATCACATTCATAGATGATTGCTCTGATTATTGCTTTGTTTATTTGATGATAAACAAAAGTGATGCCCTTGATATGTTTAAGGTATTTATGGTTGAGTTTAAAAATCGGTGCAATCGAAAGATAAAACGACTTAGGAGTGATAGAGGATCAGAGTATGACTCTAATCCCTTCAGAAAATTATATAGCTCACATGGTATCATTCATGAAACCATGACACCATATTCACCAGAAATGAATGGTAAAGCTGAGCGGAAAAATAGGACGTTTACAGAATTAGTTGTGACTATTATGCTCAATTCTAGAGGTGCTTCTTCTTGGTGGGGTGATATTTTGTTGACGGTTTGATATGTGCTAAATCGTCTTCCAAAAACAAATAGAAAAGAGTCACCCTATGAGATCTTGAAGAATAAGCCACCTAATATGTCCTATTTAAGAACTAGGAACTGTTTGGCCTACATAAGAATTCTAGATTCTAAGAGGATTAAGTTGGCTATGCTGCCAATAATAAGGCATATAGATTCTATGATTTGAATGCTCTTATTATAATAGAGTCCATTGATGTTGATTTCTTTGCGACACGATTTCCATTTAAAACGAGAAATAGTTGAGGTAATGTACTACATGCTATTAGAGATAACGGAAGTAGTGGGGATATTGGATATGAGGATGAACTTAGAAGAAGTAAAAGAGCTAGATTCTCCAAAGATTTTGGTGATGACTTTACTACAGTATACACCCTCGAAGATCCCAAAAGTTTGGAGGAAGCATTAACTTCCATAGATGCAGATTTTTGGAATGAGGCCGTTATAGATGAAATGGATTCGTTGGAAGCTAGTAAGACTTGGCATCTAACATACTTACCTTCTGGCTGCAAAGTTTTAGGTTATAAATGGATCCTAAAAATGAAATGGAGACCTGATGGTGCAATCGAAAGGTTTCGAGCTCGCTTAGTAGTTAAAGGCTACCGGTAGAGAGAGAATATAGATTTCTTCGATACCTATTCACCAGTATTTAGAATAGCATCCATTCGTGTTGTGATTGCTCTTGCTGCCTTGAACAATCTCATGGTACACCAAATGGATGTTAAAATTGCATTTCTGAATGGTGATTTGTACGAATAAATCAATATGGAACAATCAGAAGGGGTTGTTATCCCTGAACATGCCTCGAAGGTCTGTATAGGGCTAGGAAACGGTGCGGTCTGGTCCAGACCAGACCATCTATACGGTCTATGGTCCAGACCGAGAGGCTAAAGTATAGACCACAGACCAGACCATAGACTATACGGTTCGGTCCAGACCACGCCTGTACGGTCTGGATCGGTCCAGATAGACCACACTCAACGAAAATTGAATAATTTGTTTAGTCAATCACACAAAAAATTGAACCAATAACCAGGAAAAATAATTGTTATTTGCCTTAAATTATTAATCCTAACATGCATGAATAATTTTGATACTCTAAATCTTAGTACATACCAAAGATACAAAGTAAAAGCATCCCAACTTGCACCATAACGTCATAAACATTAACATAATGTCATATGGAGACACGATTATCTCTACTCTCTAGTTAAATGTGGTTGTGAATTAAGGAGGGACGAGATTCACAAAACTAAGGTTGAGACTTGAGTGTCGTTGTGGGAGTTGGGAGAGTGGTCGAATGGGCTGTTAACACGTATTTACAAGTCAGTTGGGTCCACGGTTTGGTCTGGTAAACCGCGGTCTAGACCAGGCCAGACCAAGAGATCAAAACATAAAATAGTACAGACCATGGACCAGACCAGACCATACTTAACGGTCTACGGTCCGGACCAAACTGTGTGGTACGGTTTGGACCACGGTTTTTCTAACGGTCTGGTCTATTTTCCCAGCCCTAGGTCTGTAAGTTAGAAAAATCATTATATGGTTTGAAACAGGCTCCAAAATAGTGGCATGAGAAGTTGGACACTCTCATTCTCTCACATGGCTTTAAGGTGAATGAAAGTGACAAGTGTATTTACTGCAAATCAGAAAATAACACTTGCACTATCATATGTTTGTATGTAGATGACATGTTTATATTCTGAATCGCTAAATGTCGCCCTTAAAATTCCTAACGGTTTCCCTAACTCTGATTATAAATGACTTATATAACCCCAATAAAATTTCAAAATTTAAACAGACCAAACAATCCCTAACTCGTCAAATTGAACCCCTCGTCTGCCTTTTTCGTGAATCCCTCTCGACGCACCAGTCCGCCGACGCCTTTCACACCGTCGTCATCACCCGTTCTCTACCGAAATTTCCAAAAAAACGCTCAACCTAAGGCAAGTTACGGTTGGTCTATGGTGCAACCGCAACTCACTTGCGGTTGGTCCATGGTGCAACCACAAGTGAGCTGCGGTTGGCCCATGGTGCAACCGCAAATGAGCTACGATTCCCTTTTTTTTGTTTTTTTTTCCAATTTTTGGAGTGAACTTTACCAATTCAGAGTCGCTAGTCATGATCCAGACATCATATCGACGATTCCAACTCCAGAATAACGATGATGAATTCTCCCTTTTGAATAATGTTTTATTTTCTTTACTAATTGGTGTTTGTTTGCTAAAGGGAAAGTAAAGAAGCTAAAAGGTTAAATTTTTAACTTCGATGTTTTTTAGGGCGACATTTAGCAATTTTAAGGGCGACCTTTAGCAACTCCCTTGATATTTGGTATAAATATCCACGTGGTCAATGAAGCAAAAGCCATGTTGAGAGAGAGCTTTGAGGTCAAAGATCTGGGTGAAGCTAAGTTTATGCTTGGAATCAAGATAACTAGAACAGCAAATGGTTATTCTCTAGATCAATATAGCTACATAGAGAAGATCTTGAAGAAATATAACTATTTCAACTGTAAACCTGCGTGTACTCTATATGATGCTAGTGTAAAGCTATTCAAGAACACTGGAGACAGTGTAAGACAATCTGAATATGCTAACATCATTGGAAGTCTTCGTTATGCGCGGATTATACTCTACCAGACATTGCATATGTCGTGGGATTGCTTGGTAGGTTTAATAGCTGTCCTAGTGGAGAGCATTGGAATGCTATAGAGAGAGTAATGAGGTACCTCAAGAGAACAGCGAACCTTGGTGTACACTATCAAAGGTTTCTTGTTGTTCTAGAAGGGTATAGTGATGCGGATTGGAATACCTTATCAGATGACTCCAAGGCAACCAACGGGTATGTCTTTAACATTGCTGGGGTACGAAACAAACAATCCTAGCTCAATCAATTATGGAATCAGAGATGATAGCACTAGCAACGGGTAGTGAAGAAGCGAGTTGGTTGAGAGGATTATTGTCAGAGATTCCTCTTTGGGAAAGACCGGTCCCTCCGATATAGATCCATTGTGATAGCACCGCAGATATCACTAAAGTTGAGAACCGGTTCTATAACTGAAAGAGACGACCGATTCGTCGTAAGCACAGTACTTTAAGAGAACTCCTAACAATAGGAGCAATGAGGGTGGATCATTTAAGATCCGAACAGAATCTAGCTTATCCTTTGACGAAAGGATTACCTAGAGAGAAAGCCAGAATACCGCCAAGGGTATAAGACTTATGCCTATCGAACTATGGATTACAAGTGCAGGTAACCCGACCCGATAGACGGGAGATCCCAAGAAACAGGTTCAATGGGTAATAACAAAGACTAGAGGTTGACTTAAAAGAAACTCTTGATGAGGTATAAACTCCATGTGGAGTGAAGTACTTTACTTTGGGGTACTTCTGATAGACTTACCTATGGAATATTCGAGAGATAATTCCTGGCCGGAATTATCTTACCGACGCGGTTTAATTAAGGAAGTAATTATCTTCCTAATTAATCTGACTTATTCCCCAAGTAAGAGGTTATATTCTTAGGGGTTTCGGCTCTTATAAAGAACCGTCTCCCCAGATCCTCTAAATACACCATAAACGAGCAGAAACACAAGAGAGAGAGAGAGAGAGAGAGAGAGAGAGAGAGTGTGTGTGTTCAAAGAGCTCCAGTTTTTGCACAAAATCGTCGAACACAAGAGGAGTTGTTTTATCCTGGAGAGGACCAATTGATAGTCTGTCGTGCACAACGAATGGAGTGTCGCGAACGTCTTCAAAAAAGCAATCTAGTCTGTGACTCAGCTCCAGATTCGGTAAACTGTTCTCCTTGTTGTTCCGTTCCTAACAGCTTCTCCGCGCGACTTTCCAGCATCTTCTTAGCACGTTACCATGCCAATACTAAAATGAAAAATGGCGGCATGGAATCTCTTCTCAAAACTCCTAATGAACACAACACCTTTACACTCTATTTCTTGTTTATTTCTCAGAAAGATTATTTCGAGATTTTCCATGGCGAATTCCCATGGATAAGTTTTTTTAACATAACTATGATTCCTCCTGTCCATTTTCTATGTTGAGAAGAGGGATCAACTGATGCCGAGCGTTCCTTCCTGGTCCATCTGCCGGCGAGGAGAAACCAGGAGCGCCGCCGGGGGTTTATCGGTGGCAAAGACTCAGGAGATACTGAATTTCAGGGGAGGCGGGGCTTGTGGGAGACGGATGATTTCGCGTTGGGTAGGGCGATTTCTTTAAGGTTTTTTATTTTATTTTAATATAGTGCGACTATTTATAATGAGAACTAAATGAACATCAAATGAGGGACAATTAAGTCATTTCTCAGCTCATTTAACAGTCATTTAATAGATAATTAAACATAAGATTATATTTGTTATGTTTTAATAGTAGAAGGGTACGTCTGTGCACAAAATTAGAAGAGGGGTATGTTTGTGAATTTGTGATAGTAGAGGGGTAGAAAATGCTATTAACCGTTAATATAATAAATATAAATAAATTGATAAAAAACATCTTAAACGTAAACATTCCTTTTGTTTTCTGCTACCCCGCACCTCTATTCTAAAAAAACCCTAACCACTTCCTGTCTATTTTTCCAAAGAAATCTCATTTCCTCTTTCTCACTAAACAAAGAAGTCGATCTAAACAATGTTCTAGATCGTTTGAGATTTTTGGAAACTTCACAAGCTCTTTGGAGAGATGGCTCAACTCCCACCTTTGTTTCTCGACCAAGCATGATTTAAGTCCGACCGGTGAACAGTGGTTCAAAGTTTCAGACTGTTAATGGTGGAAAAATAGGTTGGATGGGTTGCGCTTGACTTCTATGAAGATGACGATTGTTACTACGGTCCACACCTCTTGAAACACTCTTCGAATGATAGTGTTCGGTGTATGGGGAATCTACGTTACTTTACACTACTCCTATGGAGATTCCTTGAGAGATTCGCGACTATAACTAAGACTACTGCTATAGAGGATCCTTCGCTGAGGAGAGCTCTGCAAACTACATAAAGAAAGGAAAATGGATAGTTGAGACAAATTGTATTTGTGTTGAGTTGTGATTATCCCCCTTCCTCCTGGAACTTGCTTCAAGTTTTGTTGCCAAGATTTGTCCAACTGCTCTCTCTCTCTCTCTCTCTCTCTCTTCCGAAAATAGCTCTGCTTGGCCTCTACGTAAGTCAGTTGTCGCCAAGAAGTCTCTGGACACATCATCACATCATCCTATTTCAACATGTATGGTACATCCAGCAAGTACTTTGGATGGTATCCATGATATGGGATGGTAACCATCCAATCAGTCACATTACTTAGAAAGGATGTGTACTTAGACTTTACATGTCCACGACCACTTATATGGCTTACTTGTCTTTGTTTCTAAACTCTAAAGTATCGTTGCCTCATACACTTAGCACACAACCACCTTTGATCCTTTGCTTTACCATATCTTGTTGGTGCATATTGAGGCTTCTTATGTATGCCACTATGTCCACCATTTTTTTGTTGACATCTTACTGCCTTGTCCATCATTTTCTACAATATTAAATTTATGCAAACCATGTGTGGCTTGAACATACTGTAGGTTATTTGATCTGCCCCCAATCCAACTTTTGTGATTGGTGACATCCCCCCCCCCCCCCCGGTCTGTTCCTTATCATGCTTTTACCTTTACCCACTGGGAAGAGTTTTTGGTTACCATCGTTGCAACATCTTCTGACTTGATGGAATGTGATAAAATATTCTTACACCTAGAATATTGCTTTTGTCTCAGCTTGCCAAGAAATGGGATGGCATGTCTCCCTGACAGCTTAATTTGACCATTATTGTCAAGCTCCCCTTTGTGCTTCTCCTTTTAAATGAACTCACAAATGAGTTGTTTAACATATCTTTTACTTTTGATTTTTCTAGAAGCATGTTTGCATATACTTCCTTGCAATGGCTCTCATAAGCAATCTCTCTTTTTTGCACCTTTACAAGCAATGACGTCCATTGGAAATGACACATTTGAATTGTTAGCTTTTGGCAACAGTGTTTTTGCCAAAATAGGGGATGAATCCTTATTGATATTATCTAATCCACGACCATTTTTATCATTGACAGATGTTGCTTCTCTAACATTTTAACCAGTCAAGCACGACAAGTTGGATTGACCAGTACATTTACCATGACATTGTGGATTGTCCATCGAAATGGCCAGACACCCAACTTTCCCATCAACCAATTGTGGTTGGCTTCTTAAACAACAAACTTGGTTATTGCTTACTGTTTCAATTTTTTCATTCAACAAATCTTTGTCACTCAACAACAAGATTTTTTCTGGTACAATGGATGCGTCATGCATAATTTCATAGTTTGAAATTTCATAATCACAAACATATCTATCAATCATTCTATCATACGCTTTATCAAAGCTTTGTTCAAGATGATCTAAATGCTTATGTATAGAGGCAATGTGAAGATTTACCTATTGGTCGATTCTATAGAGTCCAACCACCATTTGATGAATCTCCTCCATAATTTGGCAGAGAGAAGGTACTTCTTCACCTGGATCTGCGTTTGGCTCCAAGACTGACACCATTGCTCCAATAGAGTTGTCTGAAATCTCACCAACCTGGTCGATTTCTACATTGACCAACTGCTCCTCCTCCTCAAAACCTTGTGGAAGATCATCTTCTTGCTGCCTCCATCGCGAAGACATACCAAACACAAGTGTCCCACCAGGTGTGCCAATTTTTTAACAGTGGAAAAATAGGTTGGATGGGTTGCGGTTGACTTCTATGAAGATGACGATTGTTACTACGGTCCACACCTCTTCAAACACTATTCGAACGAGGGTGTTCGGTGTATGGGGAATCTATGTTACTTTACACTACTTCTATGGAGATTCCTTGAGAGCTCTGTGACTACAACTAAGACTACTGCTATGGAGGATCCTTCGTGGAGGAGAGCTCTGCAAACTACATAGAAAAAGGAAAAGGGATAGTTGAGACAAGTTGTCTTTGTTTTGAGTTGTTATTGTCCCCCTTTCTCCAAGATCTTGCTTCAAGTTTTGTTGCCAAGATTTGTCCAACTGCTCTCTCTCTCCCAAAAAATAGCTCTGTTTAGCCTCTACGCAAGTTAGTTGTTGCCAAGAAGTCTCTGGACACATCACCACATTATCCTATTTCAACGTGGATGGTACCATCCAGCTAGTACTTTGGATGGTATCCATGATATGTGATGGTCACCATCCAATCAGTCCTTTAGATGGTGTCCGTCATATTTGGGATGGTACCATCCACCATAGGGTTGGGATGGTAACCATGGTGAGGGATGATTTCCATCCACTTAGATTTTGGATGGTGTCCACTATGTGGGGATGGTCAGTATCCAATTAGTCCTTTTGGATGGTATCCATGTTGTTGGACACTACTATCCATAATAGGATTTGGATGATATCCATGACGTTGGACACTTCCATCCATAATAGGATTTGGATGGTATCCATCATGTTGGACACTACCATCCATAATAGTGTTTGGATTGGTATCCATTATGATGGATGAATGGTAACAATGTTGTAGTTGCTACAGTCATCATCTTGGATGGCTACCTTACGACAAGCTACTAAGCGCCAGACGGATGGCCCAACCATCCAATTCGGACCACTGGGTCCATATACGGGACAACTACTTAAGGTGTCCCAATTATTCATAAATACTACATGTGATATTTAATAAATTTAATTTGGTGTAAACACAACCCTTTCATGTCCAAATAGTGTTCTCCGTGATATCGAATGGTGGTGGTTCTTTCTCACTTTGCTAGCTAATATGGAGAATTTTCTATCACTAAATACGTGATATTTTTTTACCAGTTGGAGTCGCTCATCAGATCCCCCAGTGAGAAACGATGGCAAGAAGAAATTTTAATTCTTGGTTAAGAGGACCCTGATACGCTAAGGATTGAAATCAGGTTGCTGCAAGGAAGGAAAAATTGGTGCCATGAGTCCATAACTCCATATTCAAACGTTTGTTTTTGTTTAGTGAAGCTGAGCCGTTTGGACAATTTCAGTTTGGTCATTTAAGTATGTTTTACTTCTTAAAGAGTCAAAGCTTGGTTTAGGATTTGCAAGCGAGTCCACAGCGTAGTGGTGAAGGTTTGTTGACTCAATGACTCTGCTAGCTAAATTTCAGGTTAGTGGAGTCGATCATGGGTAGTGTGAAGCCGAGATTTGATGAGATCGTTATACTTATGACTCTCATGTTCATTCAATAATATTTTGCTAGTTTGCATTTCATTTAAGTTACATTGTGGTATCAGAGCTCAAAGTAATGTGTAGCCAAATTGATTGTGTGATTTGAGAGGTGAAAGTGATTTATGTCGCTGATAGCATACTGGGTTAAAGGAAACACGAGGTGGACTTGCGAGCAAGCTCTTGGGAACAAAGTGAGTGTTGTAACTGCTAATGGAAAATTTGCTCAGGTTCAAGGAATATTTGAGGGTAGTGACTGTTGGAGTTTAAGAACATGCAAAGGAGACTGAACTCAATGCCGAGCAAACCAAGACCTTGGAAGATCTGAGGCTGAAAGACTTGAAAGCCGGGAATTACCTGTTCAGCTCCATAGAAAAGATAAGTATGAAAACGATCATCAACAAAGGACCTGCAAAAGAGCAATGAGATTACATGATTATGAAGTTTCAAGGAAATGCTAGGGTTCATAAAGCTCAACTGCAGTCTCGGAAGAAGTTTTGAGATCTTGGAAATTAAGGAAGGAGAGTAAAATTTACATAATACTTTGGTCGAGTCAGGGTGATTTCCAATTCCATGAAAAATTGTGGTGAATTCATGCTCGATTACAAGATAGCGGAGAAGATATTGAGAACATTAACTAAGAAGTTTCACTATGTAGTATGATCAATTGAGGAGTTCAAATATAAGAAAAATACTCCTTGTTGATGCTCTCTGGAGTTCCTTGTTGGTTCATGAACAAAAAATTCACAAGAAATTTGGAAAGGAAGAAGATCAGATGCTCAAAGTTTCTTGTGCAAGTGGTGGCAGGGGTGCCAAACGACAAAGAAAAGGATACTACTCAAGAAGAGGAAGGGATGGAGTGGAGCAGAGAAACAGTGGAATGCTTGAAGTGTCATAGACTAGGACAATACAAAAGTTAGTGCCCATAATGGAACAATCAACAAGTTCACTTTTCCTCCTGATGATTATTATAAATAATCCTATTTAGCCTTCAGCTAAAAAAGCGTAATAAGCACATGAAATTCCAAATGAGGAGGAACGCCATTAAGTATGTGACTGGAGAACCGAAGGAAAATTGATATTTGGCCCTGATCTAAATAGGATATGTAAGAATTGACGCCCTACATGGGTTGGAAATCGATTTTATAATCATAAGTCATGACAATGAAGTTAACTCTGCGATCATGAATACTTTAACAAGCCTCTACGACATCAAATTTTTCTACGTGCGGAGCTCATGTCGAGCAGGTGAAGGAAGTAAGATTCTTGTAGTAAAAATGGTTCATGGTACCGATTCATGGGATCATAGTTATGATAAAATTGTGAGGATGCAATTTTTATAAGAGGGGAGAAAATATATCGTCCTTGATATATATGTAGTTCCTAAATTACCCTGATGATTATTATAAATAATCCTATTTAGCCTTCAGCTAAAAAAGCGTAATATTAAAAACCTAAGACCATACTCGCATCAACAACCACCAATTCCTCCCTAAATCCTCTTTATCTCTCTTGAGTACTTCACTTAGAAAACACCACAGGTAGTTATCCTTCTCTTATATCCCCAACAACTAGCCATTAGCAACTTTCTCGTCAGTAGGGAGAATCTTAAAGCAGCTAAACAAACGCAGCAAAATCAGGGAAGAAATGGAGACTGAAATAGCAACGAGATGGACGTATAAATGAGTTGAGAGAAGAGGGAATCACTTCGACATGTGTTTTACTGGAGCTGAAGACTTGACAAACTAGGCAATGGCGGAAGGCTAATTAGTCGGGTAGCCTCCATACCAAACTTAAATGTGTCTGTCATGCTCTTTTTCAATGGATGTTGGGTGGCTGTACGAACTCCCGTCGTCGTATTAATGATCTTACCCATACTATTTGTATGCAACGGCAGTGGCGTAGCCAGAATTTAAACTTATTGGGGTGCTTAAGAAATTAGCGAAACTATAATCTATGTATCTAATGAGTTTTGAGTTGATTGGAGTCCTAATTATCACAAATATCAACGAAAGTATGGGGTCGAATCATACCAAAACCTGTTTATCTAATGAATTTTTCTCCCAAAAATTTGCCAAGTTGGGTCCCAGAACCCCTCTCCTCATGCCTTCCTATTCAGAATTGGGACTACATTCGCTCGTTGGAATGCGATCTTACCATTGCTTGAGAACAAGAAGAGGCTTATTGGTGCATGTGTTAACTGGTTGCAGGGTGGAGACAGGAATACTAATTATTTTCATAGGGTAACTCAAACTCGTCGTGCACGGAATTTTTTGTCCTCTCTCCGCACTCCTGCTGGTGCGGTTGTTGACGATGAACAGGAAAAGGGCATGGTGTCGGTATCTCATTTCTCGACCCTTTTTACTTCGGAAACTTCTCTTGGTGACATTATTTCCTCATTGGATACTTTGCCCATAGCATCAAAACTCACTCCACCTATGAATGATGCACTTCTTGCCCCCGTTCATAATTTCGAGATTCACCATGATTTATTCCAGATTGGCTCTTCAAAGGCTCTGGGTTCAGATGGATTTACGGATTTGTTTTCCAACAATTTTGGGACTTGGTTATAATCCTTTAACCATAGCTGGCTTACCCTTATTCCGAAGGTGCCTCAAGTGGAAATGTGTGAATCAATTACGGCCTATTAGATTAGGCCAAGTTTTCTATAAAATTATTTAAAAAATCTGTGCTAATCGTCTTGGGCAAGTATTACCGAAGGTTATCTCCACTTATCAAAATGGATTTGTAAAGGATCGTTCCAACGTGGATAATGTCATTCTTAGTCAAGAATTTATGACTTACCTCTGTAATAAGCAAACTGGTTACGATCATTTTATGGCTCTTAAACTCGATATGGAGAAAGCTTATGATTGGATTGAATGGCCCTACCTTTTTCGTTTAATGGAAAATTTGGGTTTTACGCCACGTGTTACTGAGCTACTTCACAATTGTCTCTCCACTACCTCCATTTTGGTTCTTCTCAATGGCGCCTCTTATGGTTATTTTCGCCCTTCTCGTGGTTTACGTCAAGGGGACCCACTGTCTCGTTTATTATTCGCCATTTGTACGGAGGGATTTTCTGCTTTACTACTGCAATCCATTACTCGGGTAGACTTAAAGGGGATCTGTCTCAATAGTCATTGTCCGGTCCTATCACATATATTTTTTGTTGATGATGCTTATCTTTTCCTCTGGATTTCACCGATTGAATGTCAACGACTTTTGGATCTGCTTTGTCATCATGAGCAGATGAGTGACCAGCGAGTTAATCTGGCAAATTTGGTGGTGGTGTTCTCTAAGAATACCACGACGCAAGAGGCGACGCAATTTGGTACCTCTATCCAAGTAAGTGCAACAGGGACACGTGATCGCTACCTTGGACTTCCTTACATTATTCATCGTTCGAAGAGGGATACCTTTCGATTCATTGAGGAAGAGGTTTCTAAACGTCTCCAGGGTTGGAAACGACATTGTTTATCCCCAACAGGATTGGATGTTCTGATTAAATCAGTCGTGTCTACTCTACCAGTATATGCTATGTCATGTTTTTGGCTCACTAAAGAACTATGTCGTACATTAAAATCATATGATTGCACGATTTTCATGGGGACAACAAGGGACCGAACGACTATTACCTTGGGTTTTCGAGGAGACATCTTTGAAAACCTAAGGGGGTGGGCGATTTGGGCTTTCGGGATTTTGAAGCTTTTAATCAGGCGTTGCATGCCAAACAATGCTGGCGCATCTTAAATGACCTGGAGTCCCTGGTTGTGAGAGTCTTAAAAGGACGATACTTCCATCATACGACTTTCTTAAATGCCGGTGTGGGTTCTAATTCATCGTGTGCATGGCAATCTCTTCTTTATGGGCGGGCTTTACTTGTCCGTGGTTTGAGATGGGAGGTTGTTGTTGGTTCTTCAATTGATGCTATGATTGATCCTTGGGTTCCATCACTCCCTACTTTCCGACCAGTGGTGCTGGCTACTGGGGATTGGTCACCTCGATCTCTCTCCTACTTCATCTCTTCCATACATCATTCTTGGGACATTACTCGACTTCGGGATTTTTTCACGACGGGTCCATTAAGGAAATCATTCGCATTACCCTGCCGAAAATCTTTTGTTCGGATAAATTAATATGGCATTTTGATCCATTTGGTTTGTTTGCGGTGAAATCTGCTTATCATTTGGCTACTTCTTCGGCTCTAGTCTCACAGGCTCATGATTCAACGGATCTGGCTTCTCCTCTTAATCCTGCTATATGACCTCGACTTTGGGGACTCCCTCTTGTTCCCAAATTAAAGTTTTTCCTTTGGCGAATTTTACTGCGCATCCTTCCGGCCAGGGAGGATCTTGGACAACATGGTGTGCAGGTGGAAAACTCATGCTCGGTTTGTGGTTCGGATGATGGTGAATCGCTTGAACATTTATTTCTTGATTATCGTGTAACGGTGGTGTTACACCAAGGGTGTAACTTACAACTGCCTCTTGGAATTTTTTCAAACACGCATTTGTCCATCTTTTGGAGACAACTCATATTCCATTATGATCATGCCACCATAATTAATTGGGTTCTCTTTTTTTTTTTTGGCGCATTTGGAAAGGACGGAATAATGTTGTCTTTCCACCCTATGCACAATTTATCACTATTGCCTTGTACCGTCACCTCTTGTCTCACCATGCCTCTCACCAACTTGTTGTCCTTCCCATCAAGTACCATCCGCCTCCACCTTATACTCAGTCGACCCCCTGCTCTACGCTTCACACAGCTTTCCGCATTGCAGTTGATGGCGCGACTAGGGCACCGACTCATGGCACAATTGGCTTGGTGGGTTACGACCAGAGTGTACCAGTATTTGTTGTGGGTGGTTTCTTCCCGGGCCTTTCTCATCCTAAGGTCATGGAGGTGTTAGCTATTAGAGAGGCATTATCTTTACTTCAACAATGGCAATGGTGGGATCGGCCCATCGTGCTCTCAAGCGATGCTCTTGCAGTTGTATAACAATTGAGGGCTCATGATGCCAATGATGTTCATGTGGGAGCTATCTTACGAGAAGTCAACATTATGTTACAAGACCTGCCTATGGTGTCTGTTGTATTTACCCCTAGGGAAGCAAATCGGACTGCCCATGTCGTGGCACACAATGCCTTACGCTACTCTGGTCCTTGTAGTGTTCGTTTCAATTGTTCATATTTGCTTTGAGCCTTTGATTGTCTTTTCGCGAAGAAACCGTTGTATTGTGGCTATCTTGTGCTTAACTGGTTAATCCTTAAGGGTTTCTATGACAAAAAAAAGGTGAAAGAAACCAAGTTTTTTAAAAGTGGTATTGTCAGTATGACCCTAGGCCACGAAAAGGTTCTCCCTCTCAAGTTTTATGATTATAATTCTTAACCCATTTAGCCACATACATCAGGGTATACTTATGGTTTACTAGAAGAAATCATATCTACAAGTCCAAATTATATTTAGAATATGGTTCCTAATCTATACATAATTAACACCCTCCTCAAATTAATGTTGGGTGATTAACATCATTTTTTAAGACATGAACCAATGTCAGCTTGAAGATACATGCTTGGTCAACACATCTGCAATTTGATCTTCTGTTGACAAGTAACTAACCTGGATAGTTCCTTCTGCCACCATTTGACGAATATAGTGAATATGAACTTCTATTTGCTTTTTACGATCATGAAGAACTGGATTTTGTGCAATCTGAATAGCACTTGTATTATCTCCATAAAGACGCACATGAAGTCACAACCATCTATGAACTAGCCTCAGACATGGATCTATATTCTACCTCTGCAGAAGACTTGGAGACTTTGCTTTTATTTCGACATCTCCAAGAGATAAATGATCGACCAAAGCGAAGGGACCATCGTGATGTCAAACGACATGTATCTAAGCATCATGCATATTCTGCATCGGCAAAAGCCTCAATCACTGGCTTCCCATCCGCTGGAAAGAAGAGTCCAACTTCTTATGTGTGCTTTATATTTCATAATAACCTCTTAACATTATCCAGATGTGTTGACCGTGCAACTTCTATGATCTGGCTCACTACTTGAGCTGCATACACGATATGTGCTTCGGTATGAGTAAGATAAATCAAACTGCCAGACACACTCTTGTAGAATGTATGATCTTTCAATAGTTTACCAACTCCCCGACTAAGCTTCAAGTTTTTCTCCATGGCAGTTGTACAAGCACAAGGCGCTTGTTTCAAGCCATACACAGAACGAGGTAATTTGAGTATCACATCCAACCCCACACCGTTAGCGTAACCTGGAGGAGACTCTATGTAGGTGGTTTCTTTCAAATCCCCTTGAAGAAAGGCATTATTGACATCAAAGTTAACCAATAGCCAATTTTTCATAGCAGCAACGGTAAACAAACCTCGAACATTTGGCATCTTAGCAATAGTGGAAAATATTTCATTATAATCAATACCATACTCGTGAATAAACCCTTGTGCTACCAATCGTGCAATATAATGATCCAAGCAACCACCAGGGTGGAGCTGAACTCTAAAGACCCACCAAGATCCAATGAATGGCAAACTAGGAACTCGCGGACAACATCCCATATATTGTTTTCTTCTAAGGCATGAATTTCAATGTTCATAGCTACCTCCCACCTAGGATCTCCCTTAGAAAAGAAATAATGAGAAGGAATATGGATAGACTCGGAAGAATAACCCGAAAAAATCATACATAGGAAGCGTGGGGTTGGTCGAGTGTAGTGCATGGTGAACAATGCGGGCCAACCAATAAAGGAGGAGAGTGTGTGTGTGTGATGGAGCTTCAACACTTGCTACATGGGAAGGTTCCATGGACATTGCATGAGAAGAGGAGGAGTTTGTGCTATCAGAGGACGAAGAAAGAAGAGGGTCTGGAGTGACTTTGAACCCACTTTACGAGGAAACATAGAAAGATGAGGTATGAAATTACAAGGATGAGGTACCACAGGGCGAATTAAGAAGCCATACAATACAAGAAAGTTCTGTAGGATTAGGAGGGACAACCTCAGACGATTCAAAGGTAGGAATAGAGACCAGAAAATTCAGCAAAGTACAATTATGCGAGTCCTTTAGGTAGTACATGACCCACTCAAGAAAGATCACATGGCAAGAAATGCACATTGGTCGATCTGTCGGATCATAACATAGGAAACCCTTGTGTCACGAGCGGTAGCCAATTTAAATATTTTAGTCGCTAATCGATCCTTCTTAGGAACTAAAACATAGCAAGTGCATCCAAAAACTCGCAAAGTTGAATTATCCAGAAAACTTCCAAACAATTTTTAAAAGGGGACTGTTGACCTAACAATTGAGTGATTTGAAAATTAATAAGATAGACCACAGTATTGACATCTTCAACCCAAAACCCAGAAGTAACATGTGAGTGAAACAAGAGAGCTTGCGTCAACTTCAATACATGCCACTACTTTCGTTAAACCAACCCATTATGGATGAGACAGACATGGACAAGATAACTGTGAATGAGTACCTTGGGAACGATAAAACTCAAGCAACAGTACAATGGATTGTGGATAAACTTGCATCCATGATATGATTGTCTTAAATGTTTCCCCAAACTGAGCCTCAATTATATGAACAAACTGTTGGGCGAAAGATAATAATTTTGACTTCTTGATGAAGGAAATAAATCCACGGGTAACGAGTCATATGATAAATAAACAACTCAAAGTAACGAATCCCCATCTGTGAAGTAATCGGGGAAGGACCCAACAAATCTGTATAAACAAACTCAAAGAAAATTCATACACTGTCTTGCTTGACGAGAAGGATGGTTGTGTCTGTTGTGGATGTCCAAGACAACAATGCCACAAATCCCAAACAAAAGTCCTTATAAAAATTCCAATGAACCAGATGGCTTAACCAAATATCCAAAAGGTCCACGAGGATCATTATTATTATCTGTGTTATAAAAACCGGACCGGCCGGTCGGACTGGAAAAACCCGAACCCATGCACAAATCCGGTCACGGAAGCATCACAGCGGGTGGGCATGGAAAAAAACTGTCGCCTACATTTTGAAATTTCACTTAGTTAGTAATTAAAAAAAGAATAAATGCAACGAAAAAGTGACCGCTAACTTCCAGTAGCCATGTAACTTTTGAGTTTAATATTTTTTTATTGTTCTTTCTTTATTCTTTTTTGGCAAAAGATACTTTTATAGTCATAACCATGGTTGTCAAACCGGTTTCATGCCGCCCGGTTCAATAGGTTCAACCGGTACCGGTCAGTAAACCGGCTGGAAAGAGGCCGGTATTTAACTGTGGTCAAATCCGGTCAAATCCAGAAATTCTGGCCGGTTAGACCTGAAACCGGAATTTAATGTTACCCATATTATATCCAAATATAAACATCTTCCATAGGATTTGAACCAAGGACCTCTTGTTCATTTTAGTATAACTTGTACACCAGTAGACTACAAGCAATTTTGTTGTCTATATTAACCTTATATGTTATATATCTAATACTAAATTTTACACAAATCATTATAAACATTAATAAAATAAATTTAATAAAATTTTATTTTTAAGCATCTAATTTTTTAGTATTAGTTACCAATTCCTAGCTATAAATTATTTTGTGTGAAATAATTCTTCTAGTTGCTTTTTTATGAATAATTTATTTGGAATTGAGGATTTTCATTTTCCTCATGTATTTTATTAAAACCGGCACAACCGGCATGAATACTGGTTGTACCACGGTCAGACCATTTCACTTATAAAACCGGCACACCGGCATAAACCGGTTTGACAACCTTGGTCATAAATATTCTCGTTGTGACAAATATAGCCAATTTTTGAAAAATACACTCATATAGCCATTTCGTCCAAAATTTTAACCGCAACATCATAAATGCTGACTTTACTAACGTTTTCTGGTGACGTGGCGATTTTTTGTTTAAACCAATCATAGGTGAAAGTTTCCTTTGTTATTAAGTTATTATTATAATTAAATTTAAAAGTAAAAATAACAATAAAAAAAATGGAAAACCTGCACGCCTTCTTCATCTTCTTCTCCCCTTCTTTCCATCTACCCCGACCTAGGAGACCCATCCCAATCATCTCTTCCCCGTCATCAATGGATCCCGTCTGTTGTCATCGATTAACTTTTACCCAGAGTATTCTTTCCCACTTCTCACTAAAACTCCTCCACCATCACTCCAAATCGACGACGACACTCAATCGAGGAACAAACCAACTGATACACCCCTTTGTCGATTCACGCCCTCAATCTTGTCTAGCTCGTCTCTTTGATTCACTCGTCCATCTCTGTTCCAGCTTCGGCAAAGGCAACATGCATCATCTCGATGGCAGCAACCTCGCCTCCTCGATCCGCGCCCCCATCTCCTGTCAAGCTTCCATAGTTCCACTACCGCTGGTAATCTCCCGCCGCACCCACCAATTCGTCTCTAATCTGAAGTCGTGCCTGTCGATTTGAAGTCGGACCTCCTTGAGATGACGATGATTGCAGGGAAGAGGCACTTCGGCGGCGGCGACCCAAGTTTAGTAGCTCGCTTCTCTCCAGGACCAGAAGAATCAGTACTGGAGTTATGGGTTCTTCTGCGTAGAACCAGAAGAATCAGATTTGAAATCGGGCCTTCCATGCCGCCGTTGTAGTGCTCATCCTTCCCCACTCTCTGTTCGTTGTCTAGATCTTCACTTCAAAATTTTCAATCTCACCAGTTGCAGTTGATTGAAATTACTTGTCGAATCCACCATGGGATTAGGTTTTCCCCAAAGAATCTCGGCTTAAAGCTCTGGGCTTATTGTCTTTGAATCCTCCATCGGTGGAATTAATCGACTTTCGACCTAGTCGCCGATGCGGTGAGTTGTATCTAGCGATTGATAGAACCCTCAAATTGCGATTTGCGAGGAAAAGTGGAGAGGGATGGTGTTGTGCGTTTGCAGGCTTTTCCCCCTCCCCGCTCGCCGATCCTAGAACGATAGACAAAGAGGAGGCAACAAACCCCATCAGTAGCTGTTGCGAGGTTATGAATTTGTCGATGGTGTTATTGGGAGCGAAGGACCATGCGATGCGAGGTTTTGGATTTGTCGGCGGCAACGGCGATTGAAGAGATAGAGGAAGAGATGGGTTTGTTTGCCGGCGGTGTGGGTGATAGAGATCTAGAATCTCTGGGTATAAGAGAATGGTGAATTATATAATAAATTATTATTTTTAATCTGTTGGTGGAATCCAAGTCAGCGATGACGTGGGCAAACTGAGTCTAGTTGGCGATGACATGTCATCCAAGTGGAAGCCATATCACTTGGTGTTGACAATAAAGTTTTACAAACTTTTAATTTTTGGCTATATGAGTGTATTTTTCAAAATTTGGTTATATTTGTCACAACGCGAATAGTTATGGTTATGAAAGTGTATTTTGCCTTCTTTTTTCCTTTTATCTAGAGCCAAACACCGGTTTGTGACCGGTTTTTAATAGTAGTTAATCAAAGGATATCCGATAAACCTTGAACCTCTCGTTCATCCAGATCGATGTCCGATTCGGTTTTGACAACACTGATTATTATGCTATAAAATAGGATGTAAGCTACTACTACTCTTCATCTCACAATTCGATGACTCCCATTCTCTTTTCAGCTTCATATCGTGGTTATATTCATCCAAAATATAAACCTATCTTTCCTTTTGTCCTCTACTGATCACTCTATTTGTTTTTTTGATCCTAGGCATGAGATCTATCTCCATTAAAAACAACCTCACAACCATCATGAGCAAGTTGTGCGACGATACTATGTTGGAAACAAGTTTCGGTTCATATAGAGTATTGTCAAGCTAGATATTAGATTCCTTAACGGTGCCAAGGACACGTGTACGAATTTGCGAACCATTAGCCACTTGAAAATTTAAGAATAGACCGGGTTTGAGTGTCTAAAAATAACTCTGACTATTACACATATGAACGAATGTAACATATTTAAGTAGCCATTTGGGAAGATTACCTGGAATAGGACCAGTAGTAAAGGCAACAGTCAATGCTCGAGAAAGAGTCTCTTGGAGAGCCTCCAACACGAACTTCCGAATTAAGTACTGAGAAAGAAATCATGTTTTTGCTTGCTAGTGTTGTCAACTTCACTTGTTGGGAAAGACGTTGATTCAAAATCATAGCCAACTCCATCTGTTCTGCCTATAGTGCATGTTTACACTAAAAAAAATAATCTTGTACCGCATTGATTATTTACAAGACATTAACTGTCTTTATAAGGCCAGATCATTAATGACAATTAATGTTATTTGAAATGGGCCTCATGATAATAATTTTAAGCCTCAAACTACTAAGTCTACAAGAAGGAGCTAGTCTCGTCGCGAGTTGAAAAGCCCGACGTGGTCATGAGATCTAGACCATGTCGGCATCAAATTTAGAGCCCGACGTGGTCATGAGATCTAGACCATGCCGGCATCAAATTTAGATCCTCACGTGGTCATGAGATCTAGAATATGTCGGCATCAAATTTAGAGCCCGACGTGGTCATGAGATCTAGACCATGTCGGCATCAAATTTAGAGCCCGACGTGGTCATGTGATCTAGACCATGTCGGCATCAAATTTAGAGCCCGACGTGGTCATGAGATCTAGACCATGTCGGCATCAAATTTAGAGCCTGACGTGGTCATGAGATCTAGACCATGTCGGCATCAAATTTAGAGCCCGACATGGTCATGAGATCTAGACCATGTCGGCATCAAATATAGAGCTCTACGTGATCATGAGATCTAGACCACGTTGGCTTCACACTTAGAGCTCGACATGGTCATGAGATCTAGACTACGTTGGCTTCAAACTTAGAGCTCGACATGGTCGCGAGATCTAGACCATGTCGTGAGACCATGTCCAAGTTCTGAGCTAACACGTTGAAAGTAAGAAGGCAAGTCATGTGGGAGAGGCAAGTAACAAGACGACAGTTCCAGGATGAAGAGCAGGCGGTTAACGGAGAAACTGCTGATTACTCCACGTTCAAGGACACGTCAGCCACGTCCGGGAAAGAAGGGAAGCGGTTCTTTTTGGAAGTTACTCTCCATAAAGTTTTCTACGACGGTTATCACCTCAAGCCTATAAATAGAACGAAGAGTTGTCAGAGAGAGGAGGCTAATTTCACACTAGACAACCCAATGTCTAATTTTATCCCTTTATCCTTTCCTCCGCAATTTTAGCCGTAGTCGTAGATCTGGAGCTCTCACTGAATCTCCATAGGAGTAGGAGTAACTTAATGTAGATCTGCCTCGAGAGTCGTGTAAACATCGATCACCCTCGTTCGAACTGTGTTTGAAGAGGTGTGAACCGTGTCTTAGTGATCGTTGTCCAAAGAAGTCAAGGTGCATTCAATTCTTATTCTACGCAAGTTTTCTCGCGGAAAACAAATTTGGCACACCTGGTGGGACCCTTGTGGTCGATTCAATGGCTCCGAGGTGGAGGAACCAAGAAGGTGACGTTTCGGCTGGATTTGTGGAGGAGCAGGTGGCCAACATCGAGCATGGCCAAGCGTCCGACGCGGTGACCAGAGTAAGTGGTGGAGCAGAGATCTTGGTGGTGACCACGCCTATTGAAGATCTTGGTGAAGCCGTGGGGGCCCTTCGTCAGATGATGGAGGAGAATCGCAAGATGCTTGCAGAGAACTGTCAAGCCTTGAAGGAGAACCGCAAAATGATGGTAGAAAACTGTCTAGCCTTGGAGGAGAACCGCCAAGTGATGGAGGAGAACCGCCGATGCATGGAGAAGGCCTTGGAAGCTACCAATAAGATAATATCTCAACTTGATTGCTTTTATTCAAGTTTTGATAGGCGTGTGGATAAGATTTTGAAGATAAGTAAAAATGATGCAAGAGATTTTGGGCAACTTTTAATAAAACCAGTGTCGCAATCAATGGTTTTGCTGCAAAATGGTTTAGAACCAACACCAAATAATAAAATTGTGTGCAAAAATCTTTCTCCCTCCTATGGCCGGTATACCCAGCCACGAACAGAGAACTTGTTATCTCCAGTGGCAACTCAACCGCCCCCTCTACGTGAGGGTTGTGGTGAGAGGTCCACCTCCACTTTGAACAACAGTGATGGGGTATTGCATGTACAAGGTGATGTTCAATCACTCGTTCTCGAGACAAGATCAGATGAGACACTTGTCAATGGACGAGATAGTGAAGATCCGTTAAACGTGGAACAAGTACCACCACATGCTTTCCCACCCCCAAAGCCACCCCTATTGAGTGGACAAATAGGTGATTCTGATGGACTCAAAACACCAAGAGCTCAGCAAGGGGGGCATGAAAGTCTAATTTCCCACAAGTTGACGCCGAGATGTCCATCTGGGGGGCATGTGGTGTCTAAGAGCTCACATCAATCACAAGCTTGTGCTAAACATATTAATTTGGCCAAGTCTGGAAAGGGGGGCATGCCTCCAACCACTTGCAGTGGACATGGGGGCATATCTAACAAGTCACGACGTGAGAAAGCCATAAAAAGTTATTGTAGATTTGAAAATTTGGCTAAGTATGGACAAGACATGTCCAAGAAGCCATATGAAGTGCAAGTCACACATGTTTGCGATAAGCATGCTAATTTGACTAAGTTTGGACAAGGGAGCATGTCACCTACCATGAAGAATGGAGTAGAGGGCATCTTCAAGAAGACACAACAAGTCAAACCCCCACATGGATTTTGTAAGCGTGAGATTATGGACAAGGGTGGATTGGGGGGCAAGTCCATGTCAATGAATAGTAAGTACTCAACACCAACCACCAAGAGTGGACATGGGGGCATGTATAAGAAGTCACCATACACACCAGCCAAACATGGTTGCACAAAGAATCAATGGTGGTTGAGTGCTAAGTGTAGGGGCCAACAAGGTTTATATGTTGAAAGACGAAGACAAGAAAGCTACACGAGTGGTTGTCGACTTGTCAAGCCTAGACCTGGTCTCCAACATCGTGAGGAGATTAAACATGTATCAAGTGGGAGGAAATCAAGGCAGAAGAATAATCATGATAGCCTTGACATGTCAAGTAAGGTGGCCCAAGCAAAGAAGCATGATACCTCATGCAAGGCCACCAAAACTAGACATGCTAACAATGTACCACCCATTAGTAAGCTAGAAAATTCAAATTTAATGTATGAAGATTCACCTCTCATGGAGGAAAAGAGTCATGTGGTCTATGGATGGCATGTCTGGTTTGATCCATGGACTTGGCAATGGGTGTACACCTTTGGTACATTGATTGTTGCCAAAGGCTATGTAGAGCAGTGACATCTGTCACTTCTTGCCATATAAAATAAATAAATTTATATAATGTACTTATTATATATTAGTTATAAAAAATATTGTAGGCAAACGTGGCTAAAATAAAAGATAGAAGGAAAATATCAAAGTGATAATCTTGAGTCGGAGTTGTTAGACTTCGACATGAAGATCTTGCCACCAAGTCGTTGTGATGGCTTGACATGACGAGCCATACATCAGGCCATGCCATGCCATCTTATCTTGTCCCGAGTAGTCACGGCCTGGGGGGCATGATGGCTTGAAACGTGGTAGTAGAGGAGTGTTGACCATAATGTCTCTACCAACATAAAAATGAACATTAGTTTGTCTAAGGCAAAAAGTAGACGACTTGACTTGTCGCGAGGGAGCTATCTAGCCTTGTGGCGAGTTGAGATGAGCCAATCTATGCCAAAATAGGTGCGAAAAATTCCAAGTTATTCTCTCAACCATGTGGCAAAGTACGAGATGTCAATGAGGGTGTAGGTGATAAAGTGAGGTTGGTGTCTCGTTGAATGCATTAGGTGGCTTGGCCATTAAAAGCCAAAATTTGGCTAAGGCATGGGACAAGTCGTTGATGTTGAGTTCCATCCGGCCATGTTGGCATGATCATTGAAAGCCAAAATTTGGCTAAGGCATGAAACAAGTTTTGACGTCAATTTCCATCTCGCCGTGTTGGCTTGACGTGAAAAACCAAAATTTGGCTAAGGCAAGGGCTAAACTTTGACGTCGAGTTCCATCTCGCCATGTTCGCTTAACGTGATAGTCAAAATTTAACTAAGTCATGTGACAAGTTATGACGACGAGTTCCATCCCGACGGGTTGGCTTGATTACTGAAAGTCAAAATTTTGGCGAAGTAAAATTGGTGTGTTGATAAGCCAACACGTTACTTGGCTAGCTTGGTGGTGTTCAACTACTTAGTCCATAATTCCTATGCACTAAGTAGTTGGGGGCATTTGTTTACACTAAAAAAAATAATCGTGTGCCGCATTGATTATTTACAAGACATTAACTGTCTTTATAAGGCCAGATCATTGATGACAATTCATGTTATTTGAACCGGGTCTCATGATAATAATTTTAAGCCCCAAACTACTAAGTCTACAAGAAGGAGCTAGTCTCATCGCGAGTTGAAAAGCCCGACGTGGTCATGAGATCTAGACCATATCGGCATCAAATTTAGAGCCCGACGTGGTCATGAGATCTAGACCATGTCGGCATAAATTTAGAGCCCGACATGGTCATGAGATCTAGACCATGTCATGCATCAAATTTAGAGCCCGACGTGGTCATGAGATCTAGACCATGTCGGCATCAAATTTAGAGCCCGACGTGGTCATGAGATCTAGACCATGTCGGCATCAAATCTAGAGCTCTACGTGGTCATGAGATCTAGATCACGTTGGCTTCAAACTTAGAGCTCGACGTAGTCATGGGATCCATACCACGTTGGCTTCAAACTTAGAGCTCGACGTGGTCATGAGATCTAGACCACCTTGGCTTCAAACTTAGAGCTCGACGTGGTCATGAGATCTAGACAACGTTGGCTTCAAACTTAGAGCTCGACGTGGTCGCGAGATCTAGACCACGTCGTGATACCATGTCCAAGATCTGAACTAACAAGTTGGAAGTAAGAAGGCAAGTGATGTGGGAGAGGCAAGTAACAAGACGCAGTTCCAGGATGAAGAGCAGGCGGTTAACGGAGAAACTGTTGATTACTCCACGTTCAAGGACACGTTAGCCACGTCTGGGAAAGAAGGGAAGCGGTTCTTTTTGGAAGTTACTCACCAGACAGTTTTCTAAGACGGTTATCACCTCAAGCCTATAAATAGAAGGAAGAGTTGTCAAAGAAAGGAGGCCAAATTCACATTAGACAATTCAATGTCTAATTTTATCCCTTTATCCTTTCCTCCGCAATTCTAGTCGTAGTCGTAGATCTGGAGCTCTCACTGAACCTCCATAGGAGTAGGGTAATTTAATTTAGATTCTGTCTCGTGAGTCGTGTAAACATCAAACACCCTCGTTCGAACTGTGTTTGAAGAGGTGTGAACCGTGTCTTAGTGATCGTTGTCCAAAGAAGTCAAGGTGCATTCAATTCGTTTCAACGCAAGTTTTCTTGCCGGAGAACAGTGCCAGAACCAGCAGATTTTTTACCTCCATGTTGAGAAAGGATCTTTTACTCTTGAATAATGTGTCCAGGTTGCTTACGGTAGATACAAAAGTTCTTTCTCTTGGAGTGGGGATGTATATGCCCCAACTCATGACAATTATGGCATGTGAGATGGCTAGTGTTTTTGTGTTGAAACTAAGGGTACTTTTGTCCGCCATGACCAAAGTGAATGCTGCTTCTGATGGAGGTAGGCAGCGATCAAGTTGCACCAGTGGCGGATCCAGGGCTAGGCCACACTAGGTCGGGCCCAGCCCTCCTCCTGGCATAGCCCACAGTTCCAACCCTCTCACCACTTTGGGCCCAACCTTTTTTTATTTACAGACCCAAAACCCAACTTCTATACCCAAGTAACAGAATCCCATTCTCAAAAGTCGCCCTTCTTCTTTCTTTGGAGCCAAAAAATTAAAGTGAAAATAATCTTATTTTGTTTGTTTGTGAGAAGGATCTATTCTTTCCCCGCAAGAACACAGTCCACCCTTTTCCCCAATAGGCCAATCCTCACTCCAGATCTTCAATAAAATTTGTCGTTGCGTCTCAAGAGCCAATGTTTATTTTAGGTTTTTTGTAATTATATTATTTGTTAGGACTTAGGATTAGGAAAGGACTGGGGGCTCTAATGGCGTTGGGTCATGGGGGGAGAGAATGAGGGGTTTTCAATTTTGTGCTCTGTATTATATAACTACGAATGTGTACAAGTTATATTTGTTGTTTTGTTTAACTGCATTAACCCGCCTTGTGAGAAAGAAATTCATTAATCCATAGTTTGTCATGTTTTCAACTAATGAAGAACTTAGCCTTTAGAACGGATAGAGTTTGTTGTGCTATTTGGTGTATTCGAATTAATAGTATATAACTGTTGTGCTATTTGATTATGCAGATTTGAAGATACTTCTTCATAGCATCTTCTTAAGTATCAAATAAAAAGGCGAAAAAATATTATTTTCTTACTCTAGTGTTGATGTTTCCCGTTTCAACGGCTACTACGGAAAAATCTTTTTTAGGAATGAAACATGTGAAAATTTATTTGCTCAATAAAATAGTTAATGAATTTCTCGTTGATTGCTTAACTATTTTTTTTGTGAGAGAGTATGCTATTAGTATGGATGAAGGCTCAATTATTGATAAATTTTCTAAATTAAAAGACTTTTGTGTACAATTGATATTTTAATATAAATTATTGTTATTATATATTTTATGGGTTCTAATTTTATGTTCAAAAGCGGCCCAGTTTTCTACTATATCTGCTCTACTATATCCTGGTTCTGCCACTGAGTTGCACCTAGCTGCGAAGTCCGGTTTCTTCCTAATTCAGTCATCAAAGCTTCATCAACTGTGCGAAACACGAATGTGCTCATAGTTAGTGTTTGGGACTTTTACTTTGTCAAACATTGCATAATTTGGCAAAGAGTCACCTTCTTTAATTGCAAAAAAATGGACACACACGTGGATCTGCTATAAATAAACATGTGATCAATTAGTTGGTTTTCTTGGTCCGATCCAAATTTCCAACATTCCTCTTCCAATTTTAGTGTATTTAGATAATCCACTAAAATCACAACATTATTTCAACAAAATTTAAACATAAATGAAAATGTCGTGACAATTGAATTTTCATTTTAGTATATTACAGTTGACGAATATCTAAATATTTGGGTGTCGGTAACGATTGAACCCATCTATTCATATGAATATTTGAAGATAATATACACTTAAGTTTTACAAAACTCTAAGTGCCTTAACACTATTACCCACCATGTGTCCAATCCTTCTCATAAGCACACACAAAACCAAAGTCTGGGTTTCTTGAAGCGGCTACACTTAATGCTTACGTAGGTTGAATCTCTTATTCATGTACCCGCCCAATACATTTTTCAAAGATTCAATTAAGAAGTTTTAAACTTCATCGTCTTCTCTCATGTAGGATAACAAGCACATACCTCGGGATGACAAATTGTGTGCTCCAATTTCTAATAATGAGCTTTCCGCATTGAATTCAGCTTCTAACGTTGTATTAGTGGGGAATCGGGTATCCCATGATCAGAAATTACGTGGACTTTAAATCCATCCCTTTCACAAACTTGATCACCAAGTCACTAGTTAACCACTTCGTCAAATGATCTACCAAATTATCTTGAGTCTGGTCATATTGTCTAGACACAACTCTATGAATTATCAGTTCACAGATTTTGTCGTGCCTTACTCCCACATGACCGTACTTGTAATTTTCACATGACTATATGCCTTATCCAAATTAGCATATATATCACAAAAGATAGTAATAGGTGAGATTGGTTTAGGCTATAAATATGTCATAAACCAAACCTCTCAACAATCATGTCTCTTCTGTAAGAGAAACCAAGATCACACAAACTTTGATTCCATAGTGAAACTTAGTGATGCAAGTTTGCTTTTTAGAGGCCCAACATATGGCACCTCCCCCAAGCAAGAGGACCCATCTCGATGTTGAAGTATCACCTTTAGCATGAGAAATCCAACTAACATCAATATATCCTTCCAAAATGGATGGAAAGCCACTACAAGTCAATACAATGTGCCTTTGAGATGTCCTAGTACACGCCTCATTTTATTTCAAATGACGAGAACTAGGATTTATCATGTACCGACTTAATTGTTCTATCGCATATGCGATATCTAGCATCATGCAAGTCATGCATACAACGAGCCCTCAATTTAATATGGAATACTTCAGTTGTAAAACTGTTTCCAGTATTAACCATAATTTCCATACTTGGATCCATTTGGGGTCTTTAAGTCATGACAATTCCTACTATGAAATTTTTGCAACTACCTTCTCAATGCAGAAAATTTGAGAAAAGGAATCTTCTTTGTCATTCCGCTTGATTCAATACACATATATTATTTTTCACCCACATGTCCTACATGGAGAATTTAAATAGCAAATTTTTATCAAAGTTCACTTATCTTTTGTTGGTCCCAAAGATAAGCATTTCGTATACATACAAATGTATGATGACTTCATTACCACAATCATCATAAATTGTGTATACATTTTGTCTCCTTAGTTTAAAATAACATAAACCACTAGACAAAATCACACCATCGTACTACTTAGACAAATCAAAATTTGTTTAAGACTTCTTAAATGTAGAAATAGAAAATCAAACAAATTACACCATTGAGCATGAAACCTACACATGTCATTCTCTTATTTCTTCATTTTACTAAGCATCCTTCTTCTTCCTCATCTTCGAATCTCCCTCTTCCAAGTTACCTTCCGGATATGAAATACACCATGAGACTAGTAAGAAGAAAACCCATCTTCTACTGTCATCGATGAAAAACACATCATCAAAAAATGGCTTGAGTTCAAGTCCTTAAGCCTCATTTCTTAAGGAAAATCTTAAAGTTTTCCTATTGGCTGATAGTGGATTAGGTAGTTAATGGGGGTTAGTAGTTAATAGGTAGTTAAGGGTAAATAGGGTTATAATTAATTAATGATTCTCTTTCTCCCTCCTCCCATAATTTTCTCCATAACTCTCTCTCTCTCTACATTATAATAAAAAAGAAATATGAAATTAATTTTATTTAATATTTAATAAAATCCGAATTTAATAATTTTATTTTTCTAAAATGGAAATTTGAAATTTAAAATATTTGTCTCTCTCACATCTTGGCAACTTCCGATTAGTATTACGTATTAACATTTTGTAATGACATTATCAATATTTATAAATTGAATCATCATTAGGGCTTTTCATTGCATGGGTTTGAGATTTTTCGTTGTTAGGTATTCGTTTTTGTTATTATTAATGGTGTTCGACATGTTTTTTAATAATTTTATATGACATTATTAACTTTTTATGTTATGTTTTGTTTGTAACATTAGTAAAAGTGAAATTGTGTTTTCAATTTGTCGGTACTTGAAGTTTATTTACTATTACATCGTATTATCAATTTGGTTCGCAATGATTTATAATAATTTGAAGTGCTATTATCAATATTTTTTTCCAAGCACAATACAACCATTAACAAATATTTAATTCATTTGTAAGATTGCTTATGCTTAGTGATTTGAATTATTAATATTTTTTTTGTTTATGTTTGTAACTTTGTCAAATGTCTTTATCAAGAAGCATATTTGTTAGATATTCGTTTGTTTATGACATTATCAAAAGTGAATTTACGTTTAATGATATAACTATGTTTATTAATCTTTCAGTCTAAGTTAGTAACGTAGTTTGGTGTCATTATTAATAGGCGTGTATAGCATTATCAATGTTTGAAAATAAGATATTAATAATATCTAATAAGGTACTTAAAAATCATTAGTTGCTATCAATATCAAAGTTTTTGGATGCATTATCCGTTAAACACATGTTACTTATTAATGCGTTTTTAGTACTATTTGACATTAAACATTGCATCTGAATATTATTAATATTTTTATATTACAAAAATCTATTTCCTTATCAGTGACTTGATCATTCGATATTAATGGTTTTTAATATCTTTATTAAAAGTTTGATGTCATTTATAATGTTGAAGTCGGACATTTTTACATTGATGTTTTGTGTTTATTTTCAACGAAATACTTTTCGTTATCAATGATTTATTGTATTGTTATTAAAAGTTTGCTGTTGAGGCGTGAATGTTGGTTTGCTTGAGCTAATATTTTTCTGGACAATGTTTGCTTGACTGAATCACACAGGTGCACT